TGTACTGTATATGTAGTAGACGCTAGCTAAAATACCAGTAGTGACATAAACTCTAAGATGTTCAGAGCTAACCAGTACCTTAATATTTCACTTTCCGTTAATATTTGGAAAACACATAATGGTTTCATCAACTCGTTGTAAAGCGCTGGGGAGGTGGCCGGGCTTACCCCAGAAAAATCAACACTTTTTTAAAACTCGATTTTCTCAACCTTATACTTATTCCACGAAACCGAATTTTTGGGAAAACACGGCCAATGAACTTAGCTAGCTAGCTGGATATCAACATTTTATACAGCACGTATGGTATGTAATAAAAATGAAAAAGAGCTTACTATGCCGGGCTTCCCCCGGCTTCCCCTACGTGTAGATATGTGATCCGCTGCTGTTTGTGTGCATGCCAATATGTGTATGTACATACAACACTTAAGTCAAAGGCTGGGAACGTGAACCGCGCGGTGTGGGAGGGTTTCGTGGATTCCTATGACCAAGTTCCACTCCACCGGCCTGCCAGACGACATCTGACCCTGCTGACCTGACTGCGGTGACCTGATTGTGACCTTACGTCCACTGGCAGCCAGATGTCATATCACTGACCCACTGCTACGTCTTACAGTTCCCCTCTGACGGCCCAAACGATCGGGCGTTGAGCAGGTGGCTTATGAATGCCATTGGGAGGGGGGGGGAGGAAGCCGCACATAGCGCTCACAGTCACCACCTCAGGTGGTCAGTCACTGAAACCGACCCGTCCCCTGAAATAATGACTTGCGGACTGTGGTAGGCTAGCGGACTGCACACCAGTCCCTACGGAACGGGCCCTAGTTGCGTAAGCAATTGTCGGGAGGCACCGCACTAATTAACCGTCGGTCCTCGTGTCGCTGCCGAGATCCGAGCCCAAAACGCACCTACCAATTTGAATGTACGTCTTACCCGTGTTGGCGCATGCATTTTTCAACTTCGAGAAATCACACTTGCCGAGCTTGAGCGGACGATTTTCAGCATGCGTAGCTCGGGTGCTTGCGGTACCGACAGTGTCTGCGTTCGCATGCTGAAAGCCGGATTCCGAGCTATTGGTGGTGTCATCCTGCATATTATCAATACCTGCTTAATTCAATCCGATATCCCCGATTCATGGAAACATTCCATAGTTCACCCTCTGTTCAAATCCGGCAATCCTTCAGACCCCGCAAACTTCCGGCCCATTTCCCTGGTTCCTGTGATCATGAAAGTGGTTGAGCGCATTGTCCATCAGCAGCTCTACACCTACCTCTCTCACAATCACCTTCTGGCATCCTCACAGCACGGCTTCCGCCCCCGGCACTCTACTGAAACCGCGTTGTTGTCTGTCACTGAACGCATCCTGGCCGCCACCGACAGGGGGGAGATCTCAATGCTATGCCTTCTCGATCTTAGTAAATGTTTTGACGTGATAGACCACGAGCTTCTGATGCAAAAACTTATGCTGCACGGTATCGAAATTTCCTGGTTCGCTGCCTATCTTCATGGGCACACCCAGAGCGTGTCGTTGAAAAATGGGTCCGGAAGTAGAGTGCTGTCTCGGCCTCTTCCTAATACCATGGGTGTCTTCCAGGGCTCTGCGTTAGGGCCGTTACTTTTCACCATCTTCTCTAACAACTTATCGCTGTACGCGGGTGATGCAGTAGTCTTTCAATATGCCGACGACACCCAAGTATTGCTTAGCGGTCCTGCCAGGGACCTTGAAGTTCTCATCTCGCGCATGGAGGTTTCGCTCGCGTCACTCAACGAATGGTTCTGCGCTAACGCCCTGAAGGTCAACGCCAGTAAAACACAGCTCATTGTCTTCGGCAGTCGTCAAAATTTACGCAAATTGCCAGATTTCAGGGTATCGTTCCGTGACGCAGCGTTGCAGCCGTGCGCGCAGGTTGGGAACCTGGGCGTCACTTTTGACAGTACTCTATCCTGGGACGCTCACGTCTCCGAACTCAGCCGCCGGTGTACGGGACTGTTGATCGGTCTCTCCCATGCGCGCCACAGTCTCCCGGATGGCATCATTAGAACGCTCGTGACAGCACTCGTTATCTCACGCATCCAGTACTGCCTCTCAGTTTATGGCAATGGGTCCCAAAAAAATTTCGATCGTCTCCAAAAAATTTTGAACTTCGCTGCTAGAGTCATTTTCGGTCGCCGTAAATTTGCCCATGTCTCTGACCTGCGAAAAAAGCTCGGGTGGTTGTCCCCGCGTCATATGGCTGATTACCAAACCCTTGTTATCGCCCACAAAGCCATTCAGCGCGGCGAACCCGAGGAATTGGCAACCATGTTCGTCACAAACAGCGCTGTCCGGGAGAGACACTCCAGGCAAGATCACCTCTTTCACCTTCCGCGACCACGGCTGGAAACGGGTAGGCGGCGGTTCGGCTATCGAGCCGCTGCTCTACTCAACAGTCTCCCAACTCAGCTGTCGCAGCTGTCTTCCGCCCCCTTTGCCCGATCTGTTAAAGCCGCGATAGTGGATGGGACATCAACTGATCGTCGCTGACCAACGGGTTGGTGGGTGGGTGAGTTGTACCTGTGTTACTACGAAAGTGTCTCTGTCCTTGCTTTGACGTGAGTGAATGTGTGAATGCTGTGAATGTTTAGATTAGTAACCGCGGATACGGATTCTGAGCAGTAATCGCCACGCACTTTCAGAATGTGGATCGCTCATGATTGTTCAATACAATACAATACAATACAATAACCCCAGACAACCCCGACAGACTCTCTTACCCTGTTTGGTCCCGTCGACCCCATTTGACCTTGCCATTTGGCCCATTTTATACTCATTTGGCCCTCTGCCAACCCTGGTCACCACGCTTCGCCCGGCTGACTCGTGACCCCATGTGACCGCGTTCCGCCCCGGCTGACCCGTGACCCCGTTTGACCTGTGTCCGTCTCCTTTGACCTGTGGCCCCGTGTGCCCATGTCTGTCTGTTGACCCGGTGCCTCTGACGCCTCCAGGAAACCCCGTCGGTCCATTCGGTAAGGAGCCGCTGCCTCACGCCTTGTGCGCGTGTGCGTGTGTGCGTGTGACCGCTCCGGCCGCCGGCAGCCCCGCGGCGAGGTACTGCACGCATCGATCGGCCTCCCCGCTCCTCCCCGCCCCTCCCCACTCCCGGGCGGTCTCCGCTGCTCTGCCGGCGACCGCAGCCTCTCGGGTTACCGAGATGACACCGAAGGCGTGCATCGCACGGTGGGCCGCACTTTCAGGGAGCTCTCCCTCCCTGCATCCCTCCCTTTTCCTCCCTGCATGACACCTGGCCAATGCCACGCCGACGGACTGAGAGAGCGAGAGGGAGAGAGAGAAAGAGAAAGAGTGCCGGCCTGGGTCGGCGGGTCGTTAGCGCCACCGAGCTGCAGGGCGGTGGATTTCGCTCTGCCGGCGGCGACTGGCCAAGCTGATCGGCAAAGGCTGAGGAGAAGGGAGAGGTGCAGGCACGGCATGTGGGGCTACGGGGAAGACAAGCTCGGCTGGGGGTCCGCTCGGCTTGGATGGGGGCATGCCCGAAGCGGATCCGTCGTGCTCCGTATGGCGGCGGTGGGGAGGGTAAATCGGGAGGGGAGGGAGGTCCTATTGAAGCACGGCGTTCACCTGGTGGGGAGGGAAGCCCAACACCTGCGGTTTCATTGTGGAGGAAGTGCGGTCTAGTGAGAAACACCCACACGTGGATTCATGTGGCCCGAGTAAAAGGATCCACAGCGGATCCACAGCAGGAAATTGCTAGACGGTGGAAATAAAGCTCGTTAATTAAGAGCATTTTTTTCAGAAGTGAGGGAAAGACTATGTCTTGCTCTTTTTCACTCGACGGGTGTCGAATCATTTGCGAACTTCCTACTGGAAAGTCCGTGGGCCATTCGTGTACCATTATAAGCATTATTTTTTATTTCACTTTTAAAATTATTCAGCCGAATTTCAAGATCAACTTATTAGAAGCGGCGAACGTCAACATCAATCAATTAATAATTGAATTTTGTTAAAGTCGAGTGGTAGTTCATAGCGTTGAGAATTTGACGGATAACAGTGCCAGCAATAAGCGAACGTACAAACAGGTGGAGCTCCGTGACGGAACCCCACGTCGCCTCCCGAACAGAACCATCGACTGCGCTCCGTAACTGCGTCACGTGCCATGCGGGTGCACTGTGTCCATTGATTTTCCGTTCGTGCTGCTGCGGGAGTGTGTCACTGTATGTTCCGGTCACACTGTGTTACCCACGTCACACGAGTGGTCTTCACACTTCACACGTTACACGAGTGGTCACACGTAACGTATGTGATGTATGTAATATGCATGGTGATATGGACCTCCCGGGCACGAGCGCCCAGGGTCAGTGGCGTCTTTTGATTGCCACTGGTAGCATGAGAGGACAGATCGTTTTGGTTCTCCGCTGGAACCGTGGGGCATGTGGCACCTGGGAAGTTCTCGACTGGAGAATGGCCCGGCGATGGACTGTGACTGGGTCCGGGTTAGGACTGCTTGGAGTCTGGTCTGTAGTGGCTGACCTGGGGAGGACCGGGGCGAGTGCGGCGGTCCTCTCCGGACCAAGAGGCAGTTTTGGACAGCGGAGCGGGGCGGGCGGCACGCGGGAGCCCCGAGCTGCATACCGTGAGGGAAACGCATTCCGAAGATCGGCTGATTTGGTCCAGCTAGTCGCTTTCAGCCCAGCTACGGAAAATGGCAGCGTTTTCCATATGCATGTGCATTGCATCAGTTTCTGGAGGCCTCACTACTGCGAGTAATTTCCTCAGTTGCTCTATGAGGCACAGGTATTAAATGGCTGCGTTGTCTTTATCTTGAAATAAGCCGATTGAATCTGGTGATAGACTTTTCACTGCTGCACCGCATTCCCTTCCAAGTGCACCTACCCTGGGTCAATGGTCTCCAAGGTCTGATATCTCATGGTTTCCTCAAAGTTCAGCAGAGTTTCCGAGTTCCATCGCATCTGCAGCCTGCACTGACGCCCCTTCCCCTCCCCTCCCACAGTTGAAAACAGGACATACGCGTACCGCCTGACGGGCGAAGTGGAGGACCTCACAGGCAACCAGTTCGCTCAGCAGGCCACCTTCGACCCGGAGATATTCTTCAACATCATCCTGCCGCCGATCATCTTCAACGCCGGCTACAGCCTCAAACGGGTGAGCATTGAACATTCACTGATAGCACCGATGTGGTGCACTACGTGGTGTAGGTTACGGTGGAACTGTGGTGGTGCTTGGTGGTGCTGGTGACTGGTGACGTCTTTTTATATGTGTGCTTGACGCTTGTAATCTACATTCACGCATATTGCAGAATGCACATCTTTGTACTAGACTAATAGCACGACATATTCGTAAGATACACATCCTATGCATTGTTATGAGACGCAGTAACTGATGTGTCTGTGACCCGATGCGTGTTGACCTGCATTCATACCGACATGAAAACGTGCATTAGTTCGACCAAGTATGACATCAGTTTCGTGTCATGAACTTCAGCCTCCGACTGAAAATCACCAGACCATCAGCCATAGGTGGAGAATTGTGACCAGCTGGGGGTGCTCGGGCGCAGCAAATCCGCCGCCGTCTAGCGGTGACCTTGACCCGCGCCGCCCGGCCGCGGCTCCAAAGCCAAGCCGGCGTGGCCGGCGTGGAATTGGGAGAGCTCGAGCACCCCCAGTCCAGCACAATTCTCCGGGTTCCGGACAAAAAGTCAAATGATAAAAGGTAAAAGGATGATAAGTCAACAGACATTACGTCAAAAGCAAGAAGTCAAAAATCTTAAAAGTCAACAGGTAAAAGGTCAACAAAGAGGAAAGTCAAAAGGCAAAAAGTCAAAAAGGATAAAACGTCAAAAGATAAAAAGTGAAATTGCGAAAAAGTCAGTGAACAAAAAGTCAACTAGCATAGAAGTCAAAAGACAAAAAGTCAAATGGACATAAGGTCAAAAGACAAAAAGTAAAAACGGCAAAAAGTCAAATTGCCAAAAAGTAAAAAGGACAAAAGTCGAAAGACAAAAGGTAAACAGGACATAAAGTCAAAATCCAAAAAACCAAAAGGACAAAAAGTCAAAAAACAACAAGTCAACCGGGCATGAAGTCAAAATAAAAAGTCAAAAGGTCAAAAAGTCAAAAAGACATATAGTCAAAGTCCAAAAAGTCAAAAGGACAAAAAATCAAAGGGACAAAAAGTCAAAAGGACAAAAAGTGAAGAGGACAAAAGGTCAAAAGACGAAAAGTCAACAGGACATAAAGTCAAATTACAAAAAATCCAAAGGAAAAAATCCAAAATCCAAAAACTCAAAAGGACAAGTCAAAGAGACAAAGTCAATGACCCCTGGATCATCAGTCATTACATACATGAGATAACATTTACAAACAGCTGTACACAATTAAGCAGGATGCTGCACAATATAACCTGCATCATTGGACATTGAAGCGAGACTGTCTCCATTGCGCGACTGATGGGGATTCCCATGGCCCGCAACCGCGACTCAGCTGGTCACACGGGCATGCTTGGCTGAAATCTGACACACAAACGTTGACACTTACGTGCTAGGTGGGAGCTCGCTCGCATGGTAAGGTTGTCATGAGGCGGCGTTACATGATCCTTCGAGACAACTGGCTGTCCCAGGCGCAGTTTACTGGAATTATTTCAACAAATATAGTAACCCGGAATGTAACCGATACGAAAAGTTCGCTTGTTCAAATTTCCTATATTGTGTAGGGAGACGTTTCTCATCAATTGATTCCGTCACGGGCTCTATAAGCGATTTCACACTTTTATTATAGTTCAAGCGTATTGTATGGTACAATTGGTACAATAGTAAAGCGCGTCGTTTCTTTAAGATAGGTGGAAGTTGGAACGAGAGGCAATTGTGTGATTGTCGGATTGTCCTGCCTTGAAAGGAACGCTCATATCAGCATCAACAGACAACAACCTGTTAATATTCACGGACTGCATACAATTAAGGTGACCAATTTTCATCGAAAGTTACTGACTTTCGAGGTGGGAGACCAATTTTCATCGAAAGATGCGATTGCTAAAAACACAATTTTTTAGGACCTCGGAGCTGTGACGTCCAAAGAGAGGTGACAAGTATAGCGCATTGTGGCCACCAGTTACTGTCCCTCTCCTTCATCTTCGCCTCCGCCCTACGTCTCCTTATCGGAACTGCCCCCCCCCCCCCCCCGCCACCAGCAGGCACAGTACGCTAACTTTATATAGATAAGTTCACATTCCCAATATACTTTTTAAAGCAAAATAAAAATAGGTAGGAGCGTTCTTATCGGTAGTGTCGGGGCACGCACGGGGACGCGCCGAGACGCGCTATGCGGTGCAGCCGGCGCCCAGCGGGCGGCGGCCGGGGATCAGGTGGCCCGGCGCGGGTCAGTCGCCGACCGGAGACGCGGGCTGCGGCGTACTTGTACCGACTTAGTTAACGACTGCTGTTAAAGACTACTTTTTGCTGTTGACTACATTTTGCGCATCAACTTTTCGCCCACCTATGAACTATTTGCTTGAACTTGACTTTTTGTGTGTTAACTTTTAGCGTGTTGACTTTTAAGCATGTTGACTTTTAGCCTGTTGACTTTTAGCATGTTGACCTTTCGCGTGTTGACTTTTAGCGGGTTGACTTTTAGGCGTGTTGACTTTTAGCGTGTTGACTTTTTGCGTGTTGACTTTTTGCGCGTTGACATTTTGCGTGTTGACTTTATGCGTGTTGACTTTTAGCGTGTTGACTTTTAGCGCGTTGACTTTTTGACATGTCGGCTTTTTGTCTCTTCGACATTATGTCTTTTGACTTCTTGCGTGTTGACTTTTAGCTTGTTGACTTCTGGCGTGTTGACTTTTTGGCAGGTTGACTTTTTGTTCATTTGACATTTTGTCCTTTGACTTCTTGCGATGTTGACTTTCTGTCTGTTGACTTTATGTCCTTTGACTTTTTATCCGTTTACTTTTAACGTTTTGACTTTTCATCCGGGAATCCAATTCTCCACCCGTGCCATCAGCGGCTGAGCTTTCACCTCCCCCCACGTCCCCACTAGGGTCACCGAACCCGTCAGAATATGACCAACAGGAACTGAGTTGTCCGCTGTCTCCCTCCCTCTCCCTCCCTCCCTCCCTCCCTCCCTCTCTCTCTCCCTCTCCCTCTCCCTCTCCCTCTCTCTCTCTCTCTCTCTCTCTCTCTCTCTCTCTCTCTCTCTCTCTCTCTCTCTCTCTCTCTCTCTCTCCCTCTTCCCTGAGGTTACCGCCATGTCACCGGGTCACAGCCTTTCTCTGTCGACCTCGGTCGCCGCTCGGTGCCCGCTACCACAGACCCCGTAGGCCGTAACCGATATGCCTGTGGCCGGGCGCGCTGGGACCGGCGTAGACTGGTCGTTAGCTGGCACTGACACACGAGCCACCAGGGATTATCCAGAGTATGTGGGAGATGGGGCAACGGGAGGATATGGCAAAGTATTGACGAGCTAGGATGCATGCCAGAATGGCGTCTTCCGGTTGACTATTATTTTACAGTGGTTATCCATACAGTCGTAACTGTCATAATAAGTCGTATAATAAGTGTAATAAGTCGTAACTGTCATAATGTCTCCTTGAGGACATGCTCTTTAGTGGTGCGTTTGTTTACGAGTGAGACTGGGGTTAGGGTGACTTTTGGTGTGGTCACCGCTATGGATCACGTGGCGTCTGGTACTCTTACTTATCCATATGTCCCGTGAGATAGTGAGACAGAGACCAGACCACCAGATGGCACGCACATGACTCAGTATGGCCTATGTGCGGGAGCGACCTTCGTACTAGCGACACTGAAACCGAAACTAAAATCCCCTCCAAGACTCGGTAAGACTGGGTCACAGTGACAGCTACCGGCCGAGAGTCTGACAGGCGGGCCGTGGGGGCGGGTCCTGAGCCGTTTGGCGGGGATCTGGCGCCGGCCGTCTCCCGCAATAAGCCGTGTCGCGCCACACTCGCCGCCGCCGCGCCGGACTGGTCGCCGCTGCGCCGCGACCGTCTCGCCCGGTCTGATCAATACCGGCCGGCCGGCGGGCGGCGGAGGCGGCGGACGTACCGTGGCATTTGTCGGCCGTTTGTGTGTACACAGCCTGCCGAGTGGTGCGCGGCCAATTGCGCGGGGGAGGGCCCAGGGAAGGTGGGGGATCATATGCCGGTCACGTCCGTCTGGCACCGAGGACGTGGCTCGTGTCATGACGGCCAGATGGATGGATATGTCGCCGGAAGGCGACTGACAGGCCTGGGTGGGTCATGTGAGCCTTGACATCGGCTAAAGTGATTAGCTGTACCGTTATGCGATACGCAGTATAAAAATGATGGAGTAGCAGCCAGTGAATTGCGGTCGCGGCATTTTTGGTATTTGAGTAACGATATTATGAGCAAGTGAGCAGCAGTGAGAGGCGATGCTCCTTTCCTGACGACCGCCAACTTGTGGCCATAATGGCCCACTGAGATCCCTGTATGTGCCACCACATCACCACAAGTGTCATAAAGGGCACCAGCTGGTGGCTGCTTCACACTGGAATGCGTACCTATTGTCGCTGTGAGTTGTGCTGAGTGATGTGTTATGTGATGGACGAATTGCCGTAGATTTTGTAATGTTTTATGTGACGGGCCAATTACGTAGATACCTACCTTATCATCTACGTGGACATTGGGTAAAGTATCTGCGCAGTACAAACGAGTTACAATGCAATAGTCAACACAAAATCCCCTTCTGATGCGCACTTACTACTTATGGATGTAGCTGCGCGGTAAGTCATACCCTCTGATATGTAATACTCCGTCGTTTTCATGCTGATCGACTGTATCATTTGTCACTTGCTATTACCGGTGCGGATTACCGTGACAGTCACATTTCCTGTACACGTGCCTGATGTAACCGCCATCGGCTCTGCCCGTCCGACCCAATAACTGTCCTGTTGACTGGCCCGTGTCCGGTGCTCTGTTGGAACACATGACTGTGTGTCCTCCTGGAACACATGGCTGTGTGTTCTGTCGAGCTACGACCGTTTGTTGTACCCTGGTGTGTCTGTGGGCCAGCTCAGGCGGTGTCGGCGGCAGCGGGTGACCTTTTCCGCTCCGTCGCGCGGCTGTGGAGCCGTTCCGGCCCGGCCGCCGCCAGCTGTGCTGTTGCCACTCTCGTAATTGGATCATTCATACCCCCTCCCCCGCCCCGCCCCGCCCGCATCGTTGCAGAAATTCTTCTTCCGGAACCTGGGCTCGATTCTGTGCTTCGCCTTCATCGGCACGACCATCTCGGCGTTTGTGATAGGGTAAGTTTCCAGTGCTATGTCAAAGGGAAAACGACCGTATGGCCTGTTGGTGTCTAGATGAGTGTTGACTGAAGTAATGTGACCTACTAACCTGTATGACCAGACATTTGTTCCGTGATCAGATGTGTTGATTTTTCCTGACAACGTTGTTTGATGAGCAAAGCTGTACACTTTTGTTGTTTATCGAAACTTTATTACATCCTTTTCGCTGCGAAGTGCGGCGACTCTGTCCTGGGCACACCCGATGCCAAACCATACCTACATTCCAGTGTACCTACTGTGGTCGCCGCCGGCCTCAGTGGTGATGAGGCATCATCGTTGAGTCATGTTGTGACGTCAATGCCTGGTCATCAGCCTGGTCACCTGGTTATCGGGTAACAGCCACGGGTCGCCCTGGGCCCCACCTGGACAGCAGAGCCAGGATAGGGAGGGCGGTGGACACGAGATGAGGCTCTAACCAGTATCTTTCAACCTTTAGGAATCTGCATATCGCTCGGAATGGCGACTGAGCCTGTGCCATCAGTCTGCGATCTCAGTTTGAAAGGAGTTTAGAACTCGGGGATTGCCGGCTGGTAGTGGAAGTGAGAGCGTCTGGTCGTTAGGAGTATCTCGGGGAAGTACCTTCTACCGAGAGCCAGGTTTTCTATAGCCAGGCTCATTTTGCATGCAAAGTCTTGCTGATAGACAGACTTTTATGGCCTAGGTATGTGCTATCACAAGATTACGAGTATTCCTTGGTGACATCACCACGCCTGGGTTTTTGACATTGCTTTGAGTATTGAACCATTCCTTATTGTATCTTTTAAATGTTCAGTATTCCTTTGAGACGTCTCCATCGTGGTACTCTTCTTCAACCTACATCTCTTTCAGTTATCAGCATCTACATTGTTAAGAAGTGTTACTTTTGCACGTTTCGATGACCGTGTTTCCCTAGTCTCAGCACTGGTGCGTCGTAGGGAGTCTATTCTTATCACGGTGCGAGGTATCTCGAGGAATTCAGGAGCGATTGTAGCGATTTGTAGTGGACGTACAATCTCGGATATTGCTTAAATGGTTCGCCATTGACCTTGGCCTGGGATTACTCGTAATGCTCTCGAGTTTCCCAAACTTCTGATGTGGACGCCCAGAGTTTGTCGACCTAGCGCACGGATCACTGGTTTGGAACTACCAGCTAGCATTGCGGCATAAACTACACAACACGTCAGAAGAGGTCATATGCCCCGAGCTGTTGTGATATTGTCCGCGCGACATTGTGCAATAACCAGTGCGATGTTCACCACTTCTCACTCCCCGTGACGCCATCCAGCATCCATCCAGCGCCAGACAGCTCGCATGTGGCTTGTCTCGAGTTGACTCTGGTGCTGAACGCCGCTGGTATGTCTACCCACTGTGTGGTGACTCTGTGCGTTCAATACCACTGTATCTTGACCTTCACTGGGGCCGCTGGTCTGTAGACTCGCTGTCTTCCAGTAGTAGATTTTGCAACGTGTCGCGTCTCCCGGCGCTCTCTCAGTTGTGAGTCACTGTGCGGCGTCTCTCCTCAGGCCACTGTCAGTGACTCTGCGTGAATCAGCACCGCGCGTGGACGGCACGTGATGGTGCGATCAGGGCCGTGTGGTAGCGAGTCGAGCGCGGCGGATGTTACACAATATCCTCCGTGGACGGACCGCTAGATGAACCTATTCCGCTGGTGGCGTATTGTTAGGAATTTGTTGCTTGATTCCATTCCAGAGCTGACAATGTTTATGGTAAAGAATTTGCCTCAGCGAAAAGACACCTTCTACTAGAAGTTTTATGTAACGACCACAGCTGATTTGAAATCCTGACGGGGTGTTATGTTTATGTAACGACCATGTGGCTTATGAGGAATGTATGCCAAGATCCGATTCGGTCAACTAAAATGTGCAGCCTTCATAGCTCACCAGCTTAATACCTGGTTCCATAACGATGTTGATATCGCTGCCTCGATCACTATTTTCCTAAGGCATCAAGTCTTAAATGAATGCATTAACTGGTCTACCTCAGTATGTGGTAAAGTGCTGAGAACTCTGAAGTCAGCAAGCCTTTTGTGTCTAGACAATAATTCCATTATGCAGAGACATTATTCGCCGCAGCGTGCAATAGCTTTCCGGACATTGTCATCATATTACTGGCGTTGTCGGGAGTCAGAACATGCATCACTATAATGAAGCGTGTGGGTGTCATAATGGATTTGCTGTTGGCATGCTTGCAGATATATCACAATGTTGCGAAACTGACTAATAACTCTAGCTTTGCATAACAAAACTTTTCCACTATTGCCTAAGCTACCCATCCTTTAAACGTTTTTTTTCATATTATTGTTATTGCGTCAGCCGTCAGTTAACCATCCCTACTTCCATGTTTCAGCGGCGTTCAATACACATTCGGTCTCCTGTTCACCTACAAACCATCTTTACTGGACTGTCTGTACTTCGGTGCGCTCATCTCCGCTACCGATCCGGTCACCATTCTGGCCATCTTTAACGACCTCCATGTCGACGTCAACCTTTACGCCCTCGTCTTCGGCGAGTCGGTACTCAACGATGCCGTGGCCATCGTGCTTGTTACGTAAGTGGGAGTGGAGGGATGGGACTGGTGAGGAACTTTGGCGAGGGACGAGGCTGGTGAGGGCTGATGGTGAGGGATGAGGGCTGGCGCGATAGACGTTATGGCGAGGGGTGGGATACTGGTGAAGCTTATGGCGATTGGCGGGGTTAATGGCAAGGGACGGGGCTGGTAAATGCTCATGAGGAGGGCCTGTGGGATTGGCGAGGGACGGCTGATGAGAGGCGGAGTCGAGCAGATGCATATGGGGAGGGACTGTGACGGCCGGAGAGGACTGTGAGCGTCTCAGTCATGTCGGAGCGTATTGGACGGCTCATGTGCCAGTTGCAGCTCAAAGTCCTCTTAAGAATTAAGTTTTACAGGCAATCGACCTTACGTTTATCAGTACAGGTGGTCAGATAGTAGCGTGTATGATAGCGTGACCTCTGATTGTGTTTTATCTTATCATTCTATGACGTGTTGGGTATCAGATGAATGATGGACAGACGGCCTTCGTCAAGGTTTTGTCAGTTTGATTCGAGACCAGAATATGTATGGGGTCAGGACCCATTCGACATATGCTCACCATACGCAGTACACGTCTTTCACCCCCAAAGCTATCGAGAACTACGCCAAGTTGTGCGTCACGGCAGCTGAGTCTTACCATACCTACCTCCCGTCCCACAGAGCCATCGAGAACTACGCCAAGCTGTACGCCACGGCTGCGGACGGATTCGAGGCGATTGCGTTCCTGAAGGCGATCGGCCTCTTCTTCTACGTGTTCTGCTCCTCCTTCCTGCTGGGCTCGGTGATGGGCTGCGCCACGGCGCTACTGACCAAGTTCACGCATATCCGCGACTTTCCGCTGCTAGAGAGCTCGCTGTTCCTGCTGATGAGCTACTCGTCGTTTCTGATCGCCGAGGCGGCTGATCTCACAGGTGGGAGGATAATGGGGAGGGGTAGAGAGAGAGGGAGAGAGAGAGAGAGGGCGGGAGAGGGCAGGGAGAGAGAGAGAGAGGGCGAGAGAGAGAGAGAGAGAGGGCGAGAGAGAGAGAGAGAGAGAGAGAGAGAGAGAGAGAGAGAGAGAGAGAGGGGAGAGAGAGGGCAGAGGGAATAAAGCAGGGAGGGATTTTTTTTTTTTAACGATTTGAAGCAGTGGACGGCAGCTCTCAAGTCTCAACGAAAATTTATGTTAGTTGTATTTTGACTGGTTGCATTGAATTACATTTACGCAGATACGTGTCCTTAAACTAGAAGAGACTGCTTTTTACCTATCAGCGGATATTGTCACGAACTCGGACGTAGTTATTTGACCTTTTGCCCCCTCTGTTCCTACCCACTGCAACAAACATATGCCAGCGAGAACCGACTCAAACGTGATGCTTCGTGAACGCCTCACTGACATGGGAGCCTATGTAGGTTTTAGCCGAGTGCAGGTGTTACTTCTATTGCTATGCTCCTTTTTAAACACCCTCTTAAACTCAGTCCTGTCTTTTCGCGGCGGTCGTTAGCAATGCGCCCCACCTGTGAGGATAAAAGGACCTCCCGCATATTCATGGGACAGCGGTCGTCCCATGAATATGCGGGGATGGGACAGCCTTCTGCCGATTGGGACCGCTGAGCTAAAGAATTCCTCGGTCCCCTTTCATGCACCTGGTTTGGTCGAGCTAAAATGGTTGTATCATTCTCTACCCTCATCTCACTGTCTCTCCTTTCTTGCGTGACGCGGCAGTTTACGGGGACTTGCGGCATGTTTTGTGAATGCCTCATGCTGCTTTTGTGGGGTGTGACTTAAGATTCGACGGAGGTGAAGAATTAGCAATTATATGCAGTAACCAACGCAGCTAACTATTTTCGTCTCTGACCCCGTCACTACTGCCGTTACCTTCAACGTCGCCATTCTGTCCCCGTCCCTTCTTGTTATCGCCCCCTCTTAGTTGTCTTTGTTCTTTCTTATCCCTTCTTGTGCTAGTCCTCCACCTTATTCCCGTCCCCGTCTGGCCCTTGGTCCGTCTCGTCCCTGCCCGGCCCTGTCCCGATCCCTGTGCCCCTTCTAAGTCCTTCCCCGTCACCATCCCGTTCCTTTCCCTGTTCCTGTCCCCGTTCCTTCCCTGGCCTGTCCCCTTTCCCTCTCTCTATCCCAGTACTCTGACCCGCCCATTTCCCCGATTCCGCCGCCGTCGGCTGCGCCCTTGACGCCCGGCCACGGCCGAAGCCCGGTGAAATCGATACTCTCAGGTGTTTTTACTCGGTCGCCTGGGACGGCCCCTTGCGCAGCTGGGAGGGCAAAGGCACCACCACGGATGGAGTTTAACGTTGAATATCACGTATCACACTCGCCGCTGAGATGTTAAACCACGTGATTGCAATATTACCAGTCACCTAAGACGCTCTATTTTCTCAAGATTTTTCCAGTTTCTACATTAGTGATGATTCTGGTACCTAGCACACAGCTTGATACTTTTACTGCGCTTACAAGTATCCCACCCCGGTCTTGTTATTACGCATGGCGAGCGATTACATAGCCGTGTTTACACTTTATCTCTCTTGCCAAGGCTCTGCCCTATGATTATGCTGATCTGCACTAGAAACTTGTATCTGATGTTATCCATCCGGGACACTTGATCATGCATTCCAGCGTTGTTTTGGAGACATTCACGTGTTAAATTTACAATGGTGAGCGATTGACTATTTGCCCAGTGTTGGACTGGTCACGCTATTTAAACAAACAATAGTTGATGATCTGGTGTTGTCAAGAAACTGCCAAAGCTCAGCGGCTGTTATCACTCTGCCGTATCCGTGGATAAACACAATTGTCTCGTTGTTTGACTAACCCCTTGTCTCCGTTCCCTGCCTACAGGAATCGTTGCCGTCCTGTTCTGCGGTATCTGCCAGGCTCACTACACATACAACAACCTCTCTGACGAGGCCAGGGTGCGCACCAAGGACTTCTTCGAGCTCATCAACTTCCTGACGGAGAACTTCATCTTCAGCTACATCGGCGTCTCGCTCTTCACCTTCCCAAAGCACCAGTGGGACTTTGCCTTCATCGGCTGCGCTTTCGTATCCTTTTCGAAGACGTGAACTTTGACGGGCTTCGTAGTTGCGGCTAGAGCGTTTAATTGACACTGACAGGAATCATATATCCAAATAAGAAACCACATACAGTTTCAATTAGGTCTGAAGATTCTCTCTGAGGGGATCAGGTACTGTGCACTCGACACACTTATATTTCACTTCGAGTACTAAATGTCGAGCCTCGGTAATTGCACGCCCACATGCCTTACACAGCTCGCTACGTGTTTGTAATTGCAACCTCCGCGTGGTAAATCCCTGCGACAGGTGATACGAGAGTCGCAGCACTCTGCCGCAACTGGACACCCGTTCTCTGCGTGAAAACTGTCTGCACTCGGCAGGCTTCTCTGAAATCCCCAGTCCTCACTTCCCATGGTGGGGATAGGAGCGGGGAGTCGGCTTTAGGCCGTAGCCAGCCGACCGCGGTTGGCTCGGGTTATGCCCCTTCTATATATATATATATATATATATATATATATATATATATATATATATATATATATATATATATATATATATATATATATATATATATATATATGTTACAGGGAGTTTGAGAAATCCGTGAGTTTGCAAACTCCCTAGGGAGTTTGCAAACTCCCTGACCCATCAGTGAGTTTGCAAACTCACTAGGGAGTTTACAAATTCACTAGGGAGTTTGCAAACTCACTGACCGGTCAGGGAGTTTGAGAAATTCCAGAGCGATTGGGCCAAATAAAAACAAGTGTGCAGCATGTGGGTGGCATACGTGCCGTCCGTGATGTTAAAACAAAGGCGGCTAGTTGTAGGGCCTCGCACGCTGACAAAAAGCTTATAGATCATATGCACACCATAAATACCTTCTTTTGATTTCAAACTGTTCAGTGATCTATCCAAGCATGTACCGCCGCTTAATTAGTCATGCCCAATTATCCGTTCCACTCAAGTGTGGCTATTCAAGAGTCAGGCTCAATATATCGAAGTAGAAACAGCTAAGTTGGTCACTTATGCTAAAGTACAGGCACACGCACCAATTACGTCCATCCCCACTCCGCCATAGACGTGTCATCGAGAGCCGGCGCTGCTGGCAGCCAGCTGCGACTGGAGCACGCTGCTTGTTTGTTTTTGTTTTGTTGGGTTAGGCCCCTTCGGTCTGGCAAGACCATTTCAGAGTCGGAAGAATGATAGGAATTAGGGGGAGACATTGCTCTGGGCAGACACCCTATAAGAGAGTCGCTGGGGCTGAGCCCGTCCGAATAGACAGGCCGACCAGCCCCCCAAGTAGGGGAAGGTGGGGTAAGACGGACCAGCTAAGGTTTGAGGCCGCATATCTTGCTACACTGCTCTCGTAATTCATATTATTTATAGTCTTCGGAATGCTCAATCCTTCCTCTGTTGATATGTGTAAAGACTAAATTTCAAATTAAAGACATCTAGGTGGTGGATGCTCTTAAAGAGGGACATGTCAAAAACTCAGACAAGAAAAAACGTGGGGTAAGACGGACCACCCAGCAGTGCCTGATATCCGTTCATGTGTGTTACACTTCTGCTCTGTACTCTTGTAAGAAAAAGTAACCAGAATGGTAAAATAACAAAATGAGCCTTTATTCTTTACTCATATGTGATGGAAATGCAGCTAAAAGCTGGGAACATGTGAGTTGATTGTCGTTTGGCATGAATGCATGCTAACTGAGCACTTGCATGCATGGCTCACATGCAACAAAGACTCCTTCCTGAAAAATTAGCTTACTTAAACTTGTGTCAATGTTTTGGAAAAGAACTTTCCATATGCAGGGTACAATGGACCACCACAGGGTAAGATGGACCACAGTGGTCCGTCTTGCCCCAAATCTAAATTCTGTCATTATCATGACGTATATGTCAAATAGCCCAACATTGCAAAACCTTGCCTTTCCTAAAGTGTGCTGTGTGACTATAACTAAGTTTATAACTTTGTTCTTCACAGTTAAGTGCAAAATAGAAACTAATCATGCAAGAAAGGCGCCGTAATTGAATCACCCGTAGACCTCTCATATTAGATCGGTTTGACGAAAAACAACATTTTTCTCAATAACTCAAAAGCTATGCATCCTAGCAGCATGAGCTCAAGGTGGCCATTGTTACGAAGGAAAACAAACATAGTGAAGGCATAAAGCAGTAGATACCAGCAGCGGTTCAGCCGGGAGGGCTGGTGGTCCGTCTTGCCCCGCTGGGCCGTCTTACCCCACCTTCCCCTACTCTCTGCACCCGGCTACGGGGTGCTCTCCCTCGGGAGCAGCGAAGGCGAGCAGAGAAGTGAGCAGCCCGCATGAGATAAAGGTGCCTGTCCAGCCCGAAGTGGGGGTTGCGGAGTGGAGGAGAAGGATGTCAGTATCCTGAGGATGGAAACGACGGAACGGAGGAGCAAGTTGCTCCGAACCTCCCCTTTACATAGCTGCGAGTAGCATTTTTTCCCGGTAAAACGATTAAGGACCTGTAAGCTTTTTGTCAGCGTGCGACGGTTATATAGGCCGTACCACTAGCCGCCTTTGTTTTAGCATCACGGACGGCACGTATGCCACCCTCATCTTACACACTTTATTTTATTTGGCCCAATCGCTCTGGAATTTCTCAAAGTCCCTGACCGGTCAGTGAGTTTGCAAACTCCCTAGTGATTTTGTAAACTCCCTAGTGAGTTTGCAAACTCACTGATGGGTCAGGGAGTTTGCAAACTCCCTAGGGAGTTTGCAAACTCACGGATTTCTCAAACTCCCTGTAACATATATATACGAAACCCCAAGATTCCGCTCAACTTCCAGCATATGATGTTCCTGGCAGATGAGTAATTATGCTCCCGCTCTCGCTCTCTCGCTTTCTCGGGCTCTCTGCACGGCGGTTCCTTCCTTAACGCCACCGCTCGCAGATCTCCCTGTTCGTCGGACGTCTTCTCAACATTTACCCGCTCTCCTGGCTGCTGAACTTGCGACGAAACCCCAAGATTCCGCTCAACTTCCAGCATATGATGTTCCTGGCAGGTGAGTAATTATGCTCCCGCTCTCGCTCTCTCGCTTTCTCGGGCTCTCTCCCCCCCTCTCTCTCTCTCTTTCCCTCTCTCTATCTCTCTCTCTCTTTCACTCACGCATATTTTCCTCAAAATCATTCTGTATTTGTTTCTTTTTACTGTCTTTCTTTCTTTTCTATCTTCATTTCCCCAATTAACCTCATAACTCAATCTCTTTCTCCGCTTCTCTAGTTAACAACAATTCTGGAGAACCTGGACTCAGTTAGTATTCAGCTAGGGATGCTGACCCGGTCTTGGCTGGGCTATTCTAGCGGCACTCAGAAAACAGGTCGGTGTCGGGATTTGTGATGATTTTGGCTGACGCAGGAGCGAGCTTGATAATGCTCTAAAAGCAATGCCAAGCTGTGGTACCCTTGTGGTCTTCACTGCTTACGAGTACTCGCTTCTACACGAAATTGATGCATACATATTACGGATTCATAATACTGTTTGGTTTGGCATTTGCGCTTGCCTTTGTTGAAGCTCAGTCAGGTAATTTGATTGATCTTGATGAGTTCATATTAATTGGCCGTCGCATTAGCTGCACCATGCGCGACCCTAGCTCTTGTGTAAATTGCATTTGCCCATTGTCTCGCGATGGTTGTATTAGCGGATCCAGCCGCGGCCTATTTCCCCAGCAGATGGCATTCTGTCCATCCGCTGAATTCCAATAAGGCCATCATGACCCGGAAGCTGCTGCGGGCTTCCCGTCTGGGTCGATCTCGCTGCGAATTGGTGAACCTGCTGGTCCGCCGTCTCGACTGTAAATGAATGTGCAATGGTATATTGACCCCAAAAGCCTGCTTAGGCATTATGTACATCTTTTAGGCAAGTTGAGCACACGAGCCCTCACTTATGTGTAAAAGAAGATCCGTGGAAAACTTTTTTACTCGATGCAGATACCAGATACTGATATAGTTATGGCTTATGAATGTCCTTTACTGTCATGTTAATTAGGTCGACTCGGGAATTATTGAGTTATGTTCGTGTTATGGTGAGTGACAATACCGCTACGAATACCTAGCTCCCGCACAGGGTGGTCCTCATCTTTTTAAGAGCTGGAGAGCCGCTTAACGGCTCACACGGCTTCCGCTTATTCTTACACAGCGTCTCACCAATGTCAGGTGTAGAGAGTAGGCTAGGTCTCCCCGGGCGGAGAGCTGGGTCATTAACATTCACGGGGCTTCTCGTCTCAGACACGAGAGCTCCCCAGCGCCTGAGCTAGTGCCTTCGAGTAGTGCTTCCTGTTCGCATCACAAACGCTTCCCACTTGACCCGGCTGACCTTTTGTGTCGTTTTTTTTTCTACTTAACCCGCGCCCTGGTGGGGTCTGTTTATAACGCGACCTGGTGGGGGGGGGGGGGGGCTATTTTTTGCCCCCCCCCCCCCTCGTATCTCCGAAACTACTGGACGGATCCGCAAAATTCAAACGGCGTTCGAAAGGCCTGTCAAATTTGTCGAAGGAAACCAAATTTCATTGACCTTGGGGTCACCGATGACGTCACAGGTCAGGTCAAAGATGAAATGTTTCACCGTTCACGGGTCTTCTAGGGAATGCGCTATAACACCGAGGAAAACGCATTTTGTCGAGAATCAGCGATAGGGCGTCAGTTGCCTAGTAGATATGTTGCTATTAGAGGTCACTGACAATACCAGGTCACGTCACAGGTCAGGTCACCAAGGGTCACAGGTCAGGTCACATGAGCCCAACTTTACTAAGGTTGTGTGATGCATGTTTTATGGCCAATTTTTCATTTCCAACTCAATGGTGTTGGTTTTAAGACTCAGGTACGGCTTAGGTCACTTTCTGGTGAAGTTCAGGTCAAGGTCAGGTCAAGGTCAGGCCAAAAAAGGTCAAATTTTAAAGTTGACAGTTTTGCATAAAATGGGTATTGATTCGATGCAGCTCGTCACGGGGAGTCTAATGGTGGTCTTTGTTTTGCGCTACGGGGTCTAGAATTGCTAAAAATGGAGTTTGAAAATTTGACGTCATCAATTTTGAACAGTTTTTTCGCTATAACTTCGCCAAAAAAAAAGAGGTATCAATCTCAAATTTGGTATGTGGATGGAAGGCGGTAAGGACTATCACATATATTACGGTTTTTGCGAAATTCAAAAAACTTTTTTGATTTTTCGATCATTATATCAAAAAAATATTTTTTTGATTTTTGGGGGTCAAAATCCAAAACTTTCAAAAATCCGAGATAGCAGTTTTGTAGCCCTGTCAATTCTACAGCTTTTATGTCCTTATCATTTTTCTGTATTTGCAAAGCTATAGGAAATGACGTCACTCTGACGTCATTTCCGGCCAACCTATCATAGCCTTTGGAAAAATTTTTGGTCACCATGTGTAAAATTGATGTCCGGGAGGGTACTGAAAGTTTGGTGACGATCGGCGCAGCGGTTCTGGAGATATATTGAAAAGTCTGGAGGGGGGGGGGCAAAAAATAGCCCCCCCCCACCAGGTCGCGGGTTAAACCGGGTCTGGTAAATTTTAACCCCCCCCCCCTCGTTTTCCTCAGGTCTGCTTAAGGTTAACTTTTCCCTCTATTTCCCTCGGGCCATCTGAAGGTTACCACCCCCCTCCGCTGCATGCAGGACCGCTGAATGATAACTCCCCTCCGTTTTCCCTCAGGACTTCGTGGTGCGATCGCCTTCGCGCTGGCCATCCGCAACACATACTCAGTGGGCCGGCAGACGATCCTCACGGCCACGTCCATCATTGTGGCGGTTACCGTCGTCTACGGCGGGCTCACCACGCAGCTGCTGCTGTGGCTGGGAATACCGTGAGTCGGGGCGGAGCGGGGACGGAGTGATCGAGTAAATCGTGACCGTGCCGTAAGTCGGGGCGGATTGGGATGGGACTGTATGCTGATTCTGGCTGGGCATGACGCGAGTCGGGAGTGGGAGTGTTTGGGTTAGGACAAACCGGAACTTTCGTAAGTCGATATTTGCCAAGACGGGGCTAAATCTGTCAGACGTCTGAGGCTTATGTGGCGGAAATTCTGTAAGTCGGGGTCAGATAGGACAAAAATATCGTCAGTCCATGGCGGAGGAGGTCTCCGTCCGCCGTCGGGCAGATGGTCCGGGATTTCAGCGAGAGAAACAGTTGTGACAATCGATACTTGAACGGACAGTGTCATTAATTACCTAACAAACGGGCCGAGGTGAACCGTGTAGACTGGAAACCGGACCGGATAAATAAATGGCGTTTTCAAATCAGAAGTTGGCGGCATTATGATGCTGTTAGAATGTTTTGGACACGCTCTGGTCCAGTTCTGTATGGCCTGATGTGAACGATAACGGACGGTTAGTGGGATACTGATGTAAGCGGGCCGTGTGAGAAAGTCCTCATAGGTGCAATCAGTCCTCTGAGCGGGGATTAGCCGGTGTGTGCCACACCAGACTAGCCGCGGCAGGCATTGATGACGTGGTTCGCTCGTGACGTCAGTGACGTTGGTTCATCCCGTGACGTCAGTGATCTAGTGACGTGGCTCACCCTGTGACGACTCTGATCCAGTGACGTAGAGCCGCCCTGTGACGTCAGTGATTTAGTGACGTTGGGTCGCCCTGTGACGCTGACTCATTGCATGGCTATTGCGGCGGACGTTTCCGCTCCATTGGGGACACTGGACGACGCCAGGTCAGCGCGATCGATCGACGGATTTGGTCTTCAAATGAAATGGCTGTTGCCGATGTTAGTTGAGGCGTTCAGGCTCCGATTGGTAACCGTATGTCTTAGTTAGATCAGTAGTTCTCGGTAGTACTGATCCGACTTTATAGTGGCTTAACTTATCTGTAGTAGGATGGTGCGTTCTTTCGATTGTAATTCGGCCAGGAAGTTGGCTAGTGACTTTTCTCTGTTATGTTACAAACTGCATACCATCCTAATGGACGTTCAATAGCCAATCAGACTGGTATCGGAACGTTTAGTTCCATTTTGTGGCTAAATTGGAAAGCGGCTGGCTGGCTTTCCCAGAGAAGCGACAATGTAAAATCAGGCTGGCGATTGACCAGAGAGGACATTTACGGATATGGCGGAAAGCATCGTACTGAGCTAGGCTTCTAGCGGCCATCTGTGGCAGTACGAACAGAATATCTCGAGACAACTTATCTGTCAGGGAATCGGGAGGAGTTCAGTCGCCTGGTCGGGTGGTGACAGGTTTTTCGTCGTAAGATTGCCTATTTCCGCGCTTGTGCTTATGTTCAGGATCGTCCCACTGCGGCTATCGCTGTGTTCGTCCCTATCTGGGTTTTATGCGCTGTTATCCTGAGTGGCGTGGTGTGGTATACTGCTCAGCGTTGTTGACGTGTTCGCTGTGCGTCGTTTTATGACTCAGCACCCCACGCAATGGCAACTGACGATTTTGTCGTCACTGAACTCACATAGTAAAAATAGACGACCTGAATGTCTTCTTGGTGTTTTCTTATTGGTGTCCTCTTGTTCATTCCTAATGCCTTTGACCTCCTCACTCGCTGTTCTGACTGGCTTTGTAATTTGTATTGAAACTCCGCGTTGTGCCTCTATAATGACCTGTTCGTCTGTCTTCGTTCCAGAGTGGGAGGCGAAGCAGAGGAGGATGAGACAACAGGACTGAACCAGATGCAGCGCACACGGCCGGTAGGTGCCCCCCCCGCCCCGCCCCTTCCCACCCTCACCCCTGTCCCCGCCCTGCTGTGGTTACGCGCCTCGGTGGCCCGCTTGGTAGGGTGTTGGTGCTTGGTGAACCGGCCGAGTCGGCCGGGCGGGGGGGGACGCCGTAGTCAAGAAGGGAACTGGGTATCTGGTATAGGCCCCACTGGACGGGCTGAACGTACTATTACCGCGATTGAAAGGAAGAAAATTTGGTCAACATTTGGTGTTCTTTCCTCTCTGCAAATACTTTATTTTAGCGCAATATAAGTGGCTTGAAATTTCAAGAATTTGAACTCATTACCCGAGAAAGATTGAATTATCCCGTGATATTATAATTGAGGTAACAGTGGAACGTTTAAAATCAACATTTGTTACAGATGGCAAATATTGAATTATATGTAGATTGGAATTAAAATCCATGAGCGTGCCATTTTTGACCCTGGACTTTTTTTGCATCGTAGTTACTCTGAAGCCGAATTATTATTTTTGCATCTTGACGTTACTGCGGAGTTGAATTATTATGCAAGCTTATAATTATTTTATTTTGCATTTCCTCACAGAGATATGGAAAAGTGCGTCCTTCACTCGCTCTGCACCATGTATTGTGACTCGTTTCTGGAAACACTTTGTTTAATAATTTTGCCTTAATGCTTTTGCTATTGTAACTTTTTTGCTGTTTTATTTTGCACGCTTTTTGACTCACGGAACGACGACGACCGTCATGTCGCATATTCATTTGCTTTTTATTTTCGCGTCATTCTGCTTCAGTTTTGTTCGCCATTAGCTCGTGATCACTCTTTCGCTGCACCATAACCGATGTAAAGTCGTGTGGGTTGCCTCGCGAGCACTCCCGGCTATCCCACGCTAGCGCCTCCACATACCGGCTCGTGTATTTGGCCGCAGAGGGGGCCGGTTTTTGGTTCTTATTTTGCTTCTGTCTCGCCGGACGGTGGCTGCACCGCTCCCGAGCGTCTTGTGCATAAACACTGCCAACCGGCGACTGCCGCATTACCATTGAGTTTGGCTGACTCTTGTGTTGGGGCAGCGGGCACCCGGCCGGCCCGTGCTTTTGATTTTAACTCTTTGTTTTGCACGTTGCAGGTGTATAGCACTATGGATGCCCGGGTAAGAGGAAACGCAGGTTTGGTCCGTCTGCAGATCCAGGCCGACTATTGCATGTGTCCGCGTTTCGGAATGCTATTTACTCACGGCTAAAGCATGCTTTCAGCTCGAAGGTGCCGTCCATCGCAAACTTTGTATTAGCTTTGGTGTGGCTCACCTCAGCTTATTACAAACTCACTGACTTAACTACATGAAGAAAACGATAGCATACTAGTAAAAAGAAATATATAGGGAGAAGATAAAATCAAGTGTAAGAAATTAGAAAACATTTCAATTTGACTTGATGGATTGGTACGTTTATGGTATACATGAATTCAGATTAAGTAAGCACTATGTAACCAAGTCGATAACTTTTAAAAATGAATGCATTTACTGAGTACTTTCGAGCGACATTAAATTTATTCTGAACCTCCCAGTAAATAACTATGTTTTGCGACATCCTCGTTCCGCTACCGCCTTATAGCTTACACTTTTGTGTGTGTCAATGTCATCAACCTAAACCAAAGCTTCAGCTGCTTTCGATAAACTCAGAAGCATTGTGTGTTTATCGTTTTACTGTCTATTCTTCCTCTCTGAATAATGTAGTAGTTATCAGGATGCGGTAGCGGGTGAACGTCAGTGTTAACTATTGTGGCAGAAGTGTTTCTCAAAGACACCCTTCTGTGTATTGATCTTTGTTTAGACGAACGGAAGGGTATGTCCCAGAGACATCTGAGTAGGAAATAGACCATTTGCCTTGTACCGCTGGCCAGCCTTATACAAATTGGAGCTGGTTGAAATCACGAATGAAAATACTTCTAAATGGTAAGATGATTAAAGAGACGGATCTTAGATAGGAAGTACAAATGTTTAAAAATAACCTGATTGCTGATTGACAGCTCCAGTCTGTCAGGATCTAAAAGTGAATATGCATTCGGTCGGAGCCGAAAGCTTATCCCTGTTGAAATGCCCACGAATTCCTTACACATCTCTCACCAACTGTTTCACAGCGCACACCGGAGGTGGCAGAGGAGGTCAAACCGAATGCGGTCAGATCGTGCTGTCCCGTCTGTCGTGGGGTGTTCCTACCGGGGATTGTATTGTCCTTAAATGTGTGACTGTGAGATTTGTGGCCGAATGGGTATCAGTATGTCTGGGAAATGAAAATACTGATGTATTGTGTCCAGTATTCTGTTACGGTGGTGCACGATTCGGCGCTCGGCATGAAGATGCAGAGAAATATTCAATATCATGGCTCCTAGTGTAAGGTCAGGATATCTTCCACTCATCCGAAAGCCAGGCCTTCAGTCATTATTGCTGCAGCTTTGCAGCAGGCTTGGTGTGCTGTGCATGACTGTACCGCTGGTGACGGTGAATCGGGAATGGTGGTGGAAGGCGGCGACATTGAAATGGTGGTGGGTTGTGATGACGTTGGAATGGTGACGGGAAGTGTTTAGTTGAAATGGTGGTGGATTAACGACTGTGTTGACGTTGAAATGGTGGTGGGTTGAGTGTGTTGACGTTGAAATGGTAGTATGGGTGGTGGTTGAGGCTGCTATCAGCGACTAGTGTACGGGAGGTTGGAAGGGGGGTGTATGGAGTGAAGTGATGACACGAGAGGCTCTCACCGGTGCTGGATTTGATGCTTGGCGTGCGTTTCGTATTGTTAGCATACTGTAACCTGAATTGTATCCGCCACGAGTGAGTATATTGTGTCTGGTTTGGTCTCAGTACGTACACATCTGTCAGCCGCGAACGTAATATCCTGACTCGATAGCCTACCGTCGGCTCCGTAGACCCTTGCTCCCCCCCCTCTATCCCTCTATCGCCCACCATTGTCTGACCATATCCGCGTGTTTCAGCCGAACGCCACCGGCGCGCGGGACAACCCGGAGAAGGCTCGCCTGGTGCGGCTGTGGTCCAACTTCGACACGGCCTTCATGAAGCCGCTGCTGACGAACGCGCGCCCCACGCTGCTAGAGACGCTGCCCATGTGCTGCCACCCGCTGGCGCGACTGCTGACCAGCACACAGCAGCTGACGCAGGTCTGATCGCACCCGCTGACCTGTCTGGCCTTTTACAGTCTGACCTGTCTGACCCTCCCCCTGACCTTCTGACTCTATCCGCTGATCGTCCAACCCTACCCGCTGACCCGTCTGACCTTTTACCGTCTCACAGTGGGCCAGGCGCATCAAAAAAGCGGAATTAAGTCGAAAATCAACTTCGGTGAAATTCCTGTAATTATGGGATAGAGTATTGTAAAAATGTCCAAAGTTTCCGAATAAGCAAGTTTCCTTTCCCCAATGTCAAGGCAGATAATGCTATAACGTCGCAAAGTAGGACTTACCGACTGGAGATGGAAATGACTGCTGTGTACCATATTCCGTTCCCCCGATTCAAAAGCTCTCAGCGTAAAATCAATTAAAGTTATTCCGTGCAAAATAGCTTTAAAAAAACAGCCGGTATTTCTGCGCATGTTTCTCGTACTCAAGTTCCCGGGAACTATTTCATGCTTACTAGTAGCGGTGGGGTTTGCAGTGCATGTTCGGAACCGTGGTAGTGCAACGACGCAATGAATTTATATAAGGATATAAAGAAAACGTCACCGAACAACACGAAGATATTTGCTGCCTGACTTTCCTCAAGGTGTATAGCTTGCTGCCCAATGCAAATATTTTGCGCATTTTTGCGCGAAATGGACGAATAAGGGTTTAACCCTCGCCGGCATAGGCCGTTTTGCATCCCTCGACGGCACAGGGGGACGCGACCCTCCTCGCGTTTGGCCCCTAATTGAGCTAGAGCCTCGCGGAAAAAACCATCGTGTAGGTCGTCACGAGACGAAGCCAACGGTACCCGGTTTTAAGGTCATAGGTCAAATGGTGACCTCTGAGGTCAGGTCAATGGCCGAAAGTCGGGACCTGTTAGAACGTCGTATAGTGTGGCTGCTAAGGGGGTTTTCGGGATGCTGATCACGAATATCATGTTAGTTTTGATCACAGATGATGTCTTCATGCATTTAGGCCAGGTCGGGTCAGCTCAGGTCAGGTCAACCAGTATGGGTCCTGCCGGGTATTTTTTTTTTTAAATATTTTTGTTGCCCGACCCGGGCTTTTGTCGTTAGTAGCACACATTCATACTGGGTTAGTACACTATATACACGGCAGTGGTACGAAGCGTTTTCGGCACCCGCTACGCGGGACAGCCTTGACCGCACGCTTCCTGTCACGCACCCCAGGTGGCACCGCACTGGTGCGCACGCTGGGGCTATCCCGATTTCTCGGGCCCGGCAGGTCAGAGGGCTGCTCCGGGACATGAAGCGAGGCCGTGCCCTCGGGACATGTCACCGGACCGAAGGATCTGTTTAAAGGCGGATCAGGCCCGTGTACCTGCGGCCGGGGGCGCTGGCTGGCACAGCGGTAATCCCCACGACCGAGCGAACACTCCCCAGTTACTGCCATCTCCTGGGTAGGAGCCGGCCGAGGAAAACGCTGCCAGAGGTCAGCTTTGATCCAAGGACCTCCCACACCAAACGTGAACGCACTTGCCAACTGCGCCACAAGGGTGGTCTCCTGCCGGGTATTCGTAGTAGGTGTCAACCCGCCTCTGACAGCTTCGTAACATGTTACGAAGGCACCAAAACTACTTCGTAAATGTTCAAATGGTTCCTAAATTCGAATTCAGCTCCAAAAACTAGCCCAGAAACATGTAAAACTCGAAAAAGTGAACCGAGGTCATCGAAGGTCAATGACCTGACCTGACCTTCAGGTGACCTTACTACCCACCCTAATGCATGGGACCAACATCATATCACATGTTTGAACGCTTGAAACCACGAAAAGACTGCAAACGCGCGGCCAATGCGGCATAGTGCCCGCCTGTCCCAGGCATATGTGCAGCGCAGAAATTAAATAATGACGTCATAGGTCAGTGACCTAGCGTAACCAATCAAAATTGAAAATGGATATCGGATTCGGCTTTAGCATGATGTTTTACCCTGTAACGAATCGTTTTTGGCACCGCAGCTGTGCTCAATGATTTAATTCCGCTTTTTTGAAGCGCCTGGCCCACTGTGCGTCTGATCTACATGGGGTGGAGTCATCACTGGAGTGTCTGAGAGAGTACCCAGTACCCAGCTACTGAGGAGCCGAGGGCCGAGGGACGGGACAGGGGAGGGAAGCAGAGACTATCGTTATTCAGGCACCATGACGGAGGTTGTTGGTTCACGTCCTTAAAAGAAAGTCCAGAATGTATGCTGCTACAAAGTCAGGGCAGGTCCTCATGATTCAGGAAATGTGAGAGTTACAAACTGATGAAGGGGCCACGGATAGGCATGTGTATTATATGGAGGGTTAAGTTATGGGTCTTTGTACTGAGCTGAAAGGAAGGCGACCCCGGTCGCGAGCTCGGCCCATTGAGAGATTTTATGAGATTTGAAGTGACATGATTTTGAGCTCAGAGTCGTCTGGTGTTTGGAATATTAATGACTGTGAACGGAACAAATGCTCTGGATTCTTTGAGCTTGCTGACGGAATATTACCGCCTATTTATCTTTCCTCACTTACTCAATAGTATGTTTCGTGTTTCGTTGTGGCTTGATAGCACGGTTTACTTACATAAGAACGATGAGAACGAAAGAAAACATAGAGCGCCTTTCGTCACTGACCACCCACCCCATCCTCGCCCTCCCTTCCCTCCCCCAGGACACGAGTAACAAGTACGATGATGACGGCGAGGGTTTTCTAGAGGGCGACGACGCCAGTCTGCACGGCGCCGGCGGTGACTCGGGGTCGATACACTCCAATGGCAGACAGGTGAGCGCTGCTGACGGGTGGATGGGTCGGGAAGGCGTCGCCGGGCTAGCACGACGCTGGGCGGTGCCGTGGTGGTCTGATGGGCCGGACTGGGGTAAAGACGGAACTGGGTGACTCAAGATGACCCATGGATGGTGATGTCTTAGTGCGAGGTCAGCGATGGTCCGTTTCAGCGTCTGTGGTCGAGATTGGTCCGTTCTGGTCTGGTCCCGTCCGTTTGTGTTGTGGTCTTGTCCAGTCTTTGTTCAGCTGACGTAAGGAACATTACGAAAATGGACTTGCAGCGCAACCCTGCCCTTGTCCCTCAAACTAGTTCTCTCAGTTTCCTCTCTCCTGCTATGTTTCCCTCTCTCCCCTTTCCCTTTATCCCCCTTTCTTTTTCCTACCCCCTGTCCCTTTTCGTAGTCAATAGAACCTCTCGCCAGCCGGGCGGCGTAGAACAGTCGAGTTGAATTGTGCGAATAGTGTAGTCTGGTAGTTGTGTGTACACTATACATAGACTAGTCATGCACGGAGTGTGTAACAGTAATACTGATTGTAGTTAGATCTGTGTACTGAGTGTAGTACTGTAGCTGGAAGTTTTGCGGTAGAGCGGTGCTGATACATTTTCGTTTTTTTCTGACGACTGTACAGTGTACACTTACGAATGTTTGCGGTATATTGACACAAATACCACACAAAAAAACACCAAACAAATCTATCTGGAGGGCTCTTCAGTCCCCAATCGAAGTGAGCTGCAGTTACCCGGCCCTATTTGTTACGAGACTTGGCGTTCCTTCTGGTACATTAGCCGGGCTAGCTTTGATGTGTGGCTTTCCGCTCCGTCTGCCTAGTTAGTGGACCCTGTATATACCCGGCCTTTCCGGAGCTTCGGATGGCCTCTCCCATCTGTCTAAGGGCTTTCTGTCTACTGTAAATACTGTCATTTTGGTTTACTGTGGTAATCTGTCAGCCTGACGGCGCAGGCCCAACCCCGGATTTGTCCATCCAGTAAATGCTTGGAGTTGGTCGTAAGGCATCAAGTGCCATATATTTCATCGTATTTGCACAGCCATTTTGCGAAACTATTATACAAGGACCGACCCGGTGTTGTGCTTTGCTTGTCAGGCACATGCCATAGTGGGAATACTTGCTAGAAATATGGTCACCAGTGGGCTACGATAGTTATCATTCTCATTTCTGACCTGACCCCTGTGTGGGGTTCTTACCTCTGTCGGCATTGGTCTCTCTGTACAGTCTCGAACTTTCTGCTCGTGTGTCTGTCTGGGCCCTGGGGGCCGGTCTATGGCTGTGTGCAGTCTCTCGGGCCGTGTATGTGGGTGTGTGTGGGCCGCTGTCAGTGGACTGAGCAGCGTCTGTCTGTAGTGGGGCTACACGCTGCTACCGCCTGTGGCCGAGCTGCGTCGGGCCCGGGCCGATCACCTGAGGCACGCCTGACGCGACAGACAGAGCGAGAGAGAGGAGGAGAGATGGTGAGAGAGAGTGGAGAGAGACGGTGGCGGGTCACCAGCTCTGGGTGTGGCTGGAAGGTTATGCGGTTATGCTGCGGATGTGGACTGCGTTGTACGCGACGGGACTAAGTCGGTGTAGGTTGCCTTCTCGGGGTTATAATATTTCCATCCATTATCATTTCATCCTGTCTCACTCCAGCCTACCCCAGTCGTCGTCCGCTGGCCGCCGGCCGGCCGTCTAACGAGGTGTTAGATTGGACACATGAATCTTCCACCGACTGGTCTATCCTGTGCCATGCTGCTACAGTCGACAGCTGGACAGTCACAGAGACAGTCCTGGTCTTCTGGAAGTTACTGTCCCCTACTGATCCAAATTCATGCCGCCATCCTAAATAGGTGGGGTTTTGTTTGAGTTAATGCGGCTCATACAGGGGCTGTAGTCGTAGATAAGGTGATGGGCATGGATCGACGCGGCAGCGGTGGAGCAGTGATTGACTGGTGATGACTTTTGGGTCTGGTAAATGATAAAATGAAACTGCATGATGGGTCGGAGGTGACGGATTTTATGGGCGACGGCTTTCGTAAATGGTGACGTTTCCAGCCAGTCTTGACCTCTTTTCAGGATGACATTATGTTGGATCTTAAACCAATGATTAAGATTGTGACCCAGACGTCGTTATGGGCCCATTCCGTTGAAATTTACAGCTACGTTCAATGGCGGACATTGTTAGCCCGAGAGTGCAGTTAGCGACACGACCGCTTCATTTACGAGCATGAAGTGGATATTCCTCACAGTCTTCAGAGTTATGTTTGTGTGAGCTAATAAAACGTCCCAGCGGGGGCCATTTAGGGCTGATGCATTTGGTGGTAAAATGTCGACAAGTGTCTGCCGGGACGTTAGTTGGAACTCCCGGCAGACTCGCTACCTCCTATGTCAAGCCTCTTCAGTCTTCAGGCGACGTCTTGGACTTTGTACGGGATGACTAAAGCGATGTAGGATGGAAAAGGCAGCATGGTGAACGAATGTGAGAATGGGCTTTGCATGTGGGAAGGCTGGAAGGGTTTGACGGGTCGGTTCACAGTACGGGTCTGAAATGTTTGCGTTAAGATTGAGGGTCGGCTGACGACTATGATATGCCGGTCCGAAATGCTGGCTAGTCTGATCAGTTCCGTAATTGTCTGCCCCCCCCCCCCCCCTGGGTTCCCGTTGCTATGCTATGGGTGCTAAATCTTGCTGAGGTTTGGTACCGGTTGAGCTTACATTAAGCTTTACCAGACATGCATAACTAAACACTGTGGACAAGCTGGTCATGCGACGATATTTTGGGTGATGGCTTCACTTCTCGGTATTCTTTTTTCACAATAGTTTCTGCTTGATGCTGCGCTATTAGGCTGTCGTTTCCGGCCTATCTGCCCGGGCTGTCGCTGATTGATGGCTCTGTTGGTATTGTGGACGTGTGACAGGTGTTGACTGGTGTCCTGTCCTACTAATGGTGACGCTGGGATGGTGTGTGACTGTACCCGCGGGATGTTACTGCGACTGTGCGGGGTAGGATTGGGCGCAGATGACGATGGGGGTTTGCTATGCCTCTGTGATGTGCGGAAGTGCTGTGCCGGTGGTGAAAAAAATGCGGGAGCGAAGTGGTGCTGGTGGTGATCCTTGGGAGGACCTTGACATCCAAAAAGTGACGTGCTCCTTTACTTGTGTGGGTGGTCCATTGGGTACATTATAGTTTGTTTCTGGCATTCTCTTATCGTTGGGAACTTTTTAACGGCAGCGTTCATAAATCATTTATTGTGGTCAGGGACCTCAGTGTTCCGGAGGTCGATTCTGCTCGCTACCATTGGCTTTCTGTGCTACAGCCTGCTATCTTGGCTAATTCTGCTTCAGTGAAATTTCCATGGACCACTTAAGGACTGGCTCTCGGGGTTTTGTTGATTGTTGTTGTTAATTCGTCGGAAATTATATGTTATCGCTTGGCCATGTGTCAGCCTCTGTGGATTCGTTTTCTCAAAATATTATTTTCTCGGTTGCTGAGTCAATCTCATTTGCTGTTTTTCTGAATAATTCCAACTTTCTCACCATGAAGAAACGAAACTGTATTACCTCAGTCTCCTGAATAAAACATTTTGATTGTTCCAATACATGTTTAAAAAATGATATTCGTTCCTCGATGCCTGAACCTTAGAATGTTTAGCAAATTGAAGAGCGCACGCAAGTTTGTCCGATTTGGTAAATATTGCAGAACAGGAATACCGTCTTTCATTGTGCTTAGAGTCATTCCGCTTTTGGCCGTTAGATGTATCTGAAAACTATCCTGATAGGTTCTAAATTACATGGGTGCATGTCACCGCCCGAGTATGCCTGAGGAATCCTGGGATGTGCTCGAGCCATGAATGCAGGTCCCCTGCGCGTCTGCCGATCGTGGGACTGACGGCTGCCCCCTCCCCGGCGTGCGTTGACCGGCAGATGACTGCCCCCGACGCTGCCGGCGCCACCAGCCCTCCGCCAGCAGCCAGCCACATGTGGTAGGGACCCCCCCCCCCTGCTCCCGCTGCATGACACCCCCACCTCCCACCGTGCTGTTTCTACTCTTTCTGGTCCCCTTTCTCTCTGCCGCCGGCTCGGCCAAGCTGCACTGCCACAGGCTGCTCTAGTGTGCTGGCCGGCACTGTGTGGAACTTGCAGAACATGAACACGCTGGTAACTTTTTGATAGTCGCGGTCGAATTTTTATATCTTCATTTAGTAGTGAGCACCGGCGTAGGAAAGTTAGCGAACGAACACTGAACACTGGCCAGCCATGTTTGATATTTTGGCACATTGTTGCCATAGTCTCACATAGTCTCACTCTGTCTACTCTTACCAAGCACTCACAATGGGTGAATATTTGCCTTCCTTCTGTGCACTAAATCGCGTGTAATTTCTGGGCTGGAGCATTCTGATTCGTCTTAGTTGTGTGGTGGGGAACCCACGGGTTTTAACACGGTTTGGTGTTGCGAGTCGCATTATTGTCGAGAGAAATAACAAACGTTTAGCCTTACATAATTCTTGTCATGTTTTTTGTCATTATATTTACACAGAACTCGCTCGTCACCTGTTGTAATCAAAATGACACGCCAATTTTGAATTTTAGATTAGCATTAGCACTGGGTTTCCCTTCGAAGTAAGTTTTTTTGTCTTACCCCAGACGCTAGTCAAATGAATTATGAACTCGCGCTTTTAGCCTTTGTGCAATCGCTTGTGACATTCTCTGTCTCGTTTGTGTGTGTGGTCTTTAGTGGCGTGTTGGTGGTTTTTCCCTTTGTGTGGTTTTTATCCCGCTGTGCGTGGTTTTCACTCACTGACTGTTCCCGCTCTCAGAGGTGGGTGGATTCGACATGCATTGTGTCTGTAGTTTGACTGCATGCGGCACGATGCACGTAGCGAGTTGGTCTGTATATGCTGCCGTCCGTGGTCCGATTCAATTAGTCCTGTTCAGTCCGAGCGTCCTTCATCCCTGCCAACCGCCGGTAGCTTCAGTAGCTGTCCAACATTGCTCTGTGTGCCTGTCCTCTGCTGTCCTGTGGGCACCCCGCCGTCAACGCGCCCAAAAGCCTTAACAAATAAACTGTTGCTCCGTCCCACGTTATGTCCTGTTTTCTTACATCCTGTCCTGCCTTGCGCCTCCGATGTCCCGCCCGTATTATTCCGTCCCTCTTAGCCCGTCTCAGCCCGTCTCGGAACTTTCGTCTCCATCAATCTCGAAGGCTCTGACCAAACTGATGTTACACCTTCTGTCTCTCGCCCCATAGGCGGCGGAACGATTTGAGACAAGGGGGCACCAGCTCAAGGAGCCAAACCTGGGGTACCCCCAAATCCTGTTTTCTCATCGGATTTAGGCCACTTATTTTTCGTCACAGCCCTGACACGATGATTTTTTCTTTTTTTTTTTACTAAACGAAAATGGCAGTACACCCCCGTATGTGTGGTTAACTTTAAGCTGATCCTCAAGTACCTATGTGTTTGTCTCTTCCTTATTCTCGTTTGATAAATTCCATTAATCCTACATGTATCAAATTACCAAGAAGCCATCGCAGTACTAATCAGTGGCGAATCCCAGGGGGGAGGTTACATGGGTCATGACTTTGGGCCTGGGGTCACCACATGCCTGCCAGGAGCACCACAAGCCTGACAGCCGACAGGGGCACCACAGGCCCGCCAGGGGTACCACAGGCCTAGCAGGGGCACCACGGGCCTGTCAGTGGCACCACAGGCCTGTCAGGAGCACCATCGGCCTAGCAAAAGCACTACAGGTCTTCCAGGGGCACCACAGACCTGCCAGGGGCACCAGAGGCCTGCCAGGGGCACTATCGGCTTCGCAGGGGAACCACCGGCCTCGCAAGGGCACCATGGGCCTGTCAAGGGCACCACAAGCCTGTCGTTGGCACTTTAGGATTGTCAGGGGCACCACAAACCTGTCAAGGGCACCTGCGTTCTAACAGGGGCACCACAGGCTCGCCAGGGGCTAACAGACCTGCCAAGGCCCAGGGACACCACAGGCCTGTCAGGGGCACCACGGGCCTGTCAGGGCCCATGGGCACCTAAGTCATGTGCAGGGCCCACCGTAGGCTTGTCAGGGGGCAGGTTAGGTAGGTACCACAGTCTTTCCAGGGGCACCAGTCATCACACGACTAACCAAAAATAAAGAAAATAAAAAACTGAAAATAGGGCACCACCAAAATTAAGTGGCCGAAATCCGTTGAGGTTTTAATTTTGGGTATAGGTAGGGGCACCCCTTCGATTCATGACCCTCCCCTTTGAGTTTTCCCGAACCCGCCCCTGGTACTAATACATCAAATTTAAGGAGGGGCACCTTGCTATTGGTGCCCCCTTGCAGAATTCAAGGGGGCACGGTGCCCCAGTGCCCCCCCCCCCCGTTCCGCCGCCTATGTCTCGCCCTGGTCCTCTCCTCCCATTGGCACCGCCGCCCTGCCCTCTCCCATCCCTCCCAGTGTCCTCTGCTGCTGCTGCCGCTGCCTGCGCTCTCGCTTGTGCCTGTGGTGACCGGGCGTCCGCCTCTATCTCACAGATAGGCGGCGGCGCGCCCGACGACGGTGACCTGGGCACGGGCTCTGCCAGCGGGTACCAGCAGGCGCCACCCGCCGCCGCCGCCGCCGCCCGGCCCACGCGGGTGACGCTGCGCGGCCACGGCCACGGCGAGAACTTGTAGTTACGGCCGCCGCCGCCGCGCGGCGCTGGCGGCGTCCGGGTGCTGTCCGCTTGCTTCGTCCGCTCAACGGCTGCGGGGATTAATCGAAGATGAGGCGAATGTCAGTGGTGTCGGCCGCGTATGGTCCGTGTTTGTGTGCGGGTGTGGAGCCTGTCTGTCGTACAGTCTCTGCTGGATCTCGGTACCAGTCGGCACGGAACGAACCCTGTTTCCGAGACTTGTCGGTCGCTCAGACAGCCCCGCGGCATGACTCGGTGGATATACAGCGTGTCCGTGACATTGCGCCCTTACCGCCCATGATCGGACCCTCGGACTGGCGGCTGCCAAGTCGCTGACTCGGTGATAGGAGAACGCACATTCCGGCCCGAGTGCACGTGATGAACCCCTCTGAATGTGATTGTGCGTGCCGGAGACGCCCAGAACGCATGCGGCGCGAGAGACATGGCCATAGGACCAGTGACTGCATTATAGAGGACTGAGAACCGGTGACTGATGTGCAGAGGACTGAGACAATCGAGTGGCCGGCGTAGAACGGGTTCTGACGGACGGCTTATTGAGAACGGTCTGTGCGAGAGGACTGGATAGCTTTGTTAGGTCAAGGAGATCATAAGACTGCCAACCGGCTGCGATGACTGGAGATGACTGATGACTGAAGACTGATGAGGGTACCGACGTTTGGAGACTGCATAGTGAGGAATAGGACTGAGAGCTGACTGACAAATTCCAACAGACTGAAAATTATACGCAGCTATCTTCAGTCCTGGACCAGGGACCTAACTGAACTGGACTGACTGAACCGACGACTGAGGACTGGAGACTGTCTCGCTCGGCCGCGCTCTCAGACGTCCGGCCCGCTGTTTTCAGAATGACGCCCGGCAGCCGGTGAAGGTGGCCAGTTACGGTTCAATAGCGCCCTGAGACGCGCCGTGGCCGACCGAGGGTGCTACCGACGTCAGTTGTGATCTGGTCTGCCGCTGCCGCCGTTAGGTGGTGCGCGCTGAGTGAACTAACCGGGCCAGTGGTCCGCTGGGCGGGGCGGCGACCCCACCCAGAATCAGTGGAGCCCCTTGTGGGACTATCTCAGTCAGGTATATATCACTGTACCACTTGTTGCTTGTATGCCGAATGTTTACTTTGCTTCTGGTGTGTATCGTTGTTTTACTCCCCGAGCTCTGCGGTCGCAGAGGTGGCGGAGGGCCGCCGGGGCTGCCCGGGGCCGGCCCGACGCAGTGCGCGGGTCCCCTGCTGTGCCAGTCGTTTGACGTGATGACCCGTGTGGGAAATGAGAGCCGGCGCGCCGCGGGCTGTTCCCGCGAGCCGCCCCGTCTGCTCGGCTATCTTATAGTGTATGTACTCCTGGTGCTTATTAAATGGAATGTGGCCACTGTGAGTTGCGCGTTTGGCGGAGACTGGACGGTGTGGGTAGACGCACTATATAGTCGTACGAGTAATTTGGCAATAGTGGGATGCGCTCGTAGTGTGTGCCGGCAACCCGACCTAGCTGGGGATGGGGTAAAGGGGACACTCCACGTTAGCTGCGCTAGTGCTGCTAAATAACATCAGGCCTCTCAGTCACACACAGAACAGTCAACGTCTGCACCCTGTAGCTCTAAAAAAAAAAAAACTCAAGTTGGTAAACACACAGCTGTATTTCACAGATGAACGATACAGCTTCTGGTGAATAACCACAGTTTGGACGGAATCGTTAGCGGTGCACAATAAAACACTGATAATCTACGATGTGCTGTTCACAATCAGTGATGACACATTGTCATCTGTTCATCAAGATCAAGTCCGTGCGAAATGGACCTCGTAAAGGCTGTGCGAAATGGACGGAATGCCTTGTCTGTACGCACAGTTGAATCACACCCACGGGTACAACATAAACAACATTGACTCATCTACGAGTACATCTAAATACCTTTCGACCAGAAACCGGCGACCAGCGCTTCCTGAGCAGGTGGTACGTTCGTTCAGAATACCCCACGCTTGTGCGTATAGCGTCGCCATCCGACCCCGACCAGAACACTACATAGATGTGCGCGGCGCAAAGCTCTTGTGAGAATACCACGATCATGGCTGCAACATTAATATACGTAGCAGCGTGCAACGACTGGGATCAAAGACTAGATGGGCAGGGCTAGGAGAGTAAGAAGAAGCACAGGTGCTCACACTGACTGAGATCGCGACACCGAGCTTCACACAATCGACTGTTCGTCAGCTGCCCCCGAACTTGATTTGAAGACGTCCACCTTGTAGTTCCTCCTACTACAGACGAAGATTCGTCATGAGTTTGATCCGTTTCAATCATTGCCGATATAGCTGTTGTTTTAGTGAGCAACGTTCGTAGGAAGCTTTTCGTGATTGAGCGGCGCCCGGAGGCACCGTTCACTATTTGATATTCCTAGGCGACCGTGACGGTGCCGACGCAAGAAACGGGCGTGAGATCGGTATGATAAAACTGAGAAACCTACACAAGGAGAATAAGTGTGACCATAGGCTTACGCCACTGTTGATAAAGTTGATCTCCTTGGATGGCATCAGCAACGTCCCCTTCGATCGATATGAGAAGAACGTCAAATGGAACCCAACAACAAAACACAAACACCTGCATAACAACCGAACACTAGGTCACAACATAAATCGTCTGTGAACGTATACAAGATAAATTATCGCAATTGACTAGAAGTTCATGATATGCGACGAACCATATTACGACTCAACGGTAACTATGTACCGAAATAAGTCCTCTCCACTATAAATAAGTCTGGTGTTTTGTGCAGCTCCCCCCCCCCCCTTGCGACCGACCACCGCCATCTAGACTGTCGCCATGCCTCAGACCCGCGTCTTTGTGCACCTACAGGGTCTCCTTGTGTTCAGGGATGAGCTGCTCCTGAACATACAGCGAGTAGACCAGACCCTGACGCTTATCCCCGCTTGTGACGGCGCGGATGTACGCCGGCTTCTTGCCCACCTCGAAATGAGTTTCGGTGCCGTCTTCGACAAACTCTCCCTGAGGGGGACGGGAACAGGAGATGCGTCAGTGGGCGTCGGTTAGGGCCTAAGGGGCATAGTTGAATACCAGGACTAGGTGGTGAAGACTCGACATAGGACCACACTAAAGCGATAAACATTTCCCAGTCTGGGATACGACCTATGGGAATCATGAAAGACATAACTAACGGTTGGTAATTTAGTTTGCACAGTTTTGCACTGATTGCATCAAATCAATAGCCACAATTTAGTTGAAATGTGACATAAGCCATTTAAACGATACCAAGTGAAGGGTGATGCACGATTACGAAGCGTTCTGATCAACTCACCGCTGTCTCCAGTTTTCGGCCGTTCACCCACACATCCAGAGTTCCCTTTTCTGAAACAAAGACGGGGAACGATCACACTCAGTCGCACGCACTGGCAAGCGCCGATAAATCACAAACGAGCTAATTACCAAATATCGATGATAACCAGTGGACACCGTGTAACCACGACATGTAACCAGTAACCACCCATGCTCCGGGTCCATTAACACCTCATAATTGTCGCGTGCCAGGTGAGCCGCGCGCATCAGTGAGCGCTAACACCTCTCGACGGCGGTCGATCAGTCGACCCCAGACTGTGCATTCCACTCAATAAGTCACCGGCGCCGCTGCAGCAGCACCGATACGGACAAAGGGATCGTTTACCGTTCAGCTCATTGACGTGGCCTCGAATTCCGAGAGCAGGATCAATGAGAGAGCGGCCTCAGCTGCACAGCGCCCCAAACATGCGGCCGGGAGGGTCGTAAGCGTCGCACAGGTATGCGGACAGCAACCGGAAGCAATTCGGCTCGTTAATATCCGTTTCCGATAATGCCATGACATAATATGCCCGAGAACCGGAAATATTGATAGAATCTTGCACGGAAATCATTTTCCGCGATAACCCGAAATTCGCACCCGATAATCTAACAATCAATTGGCAAGTCAGCCCTAAACGTATCGGCAAAAAGGCTATCAGTCTATAAATTATCATCACCCAGCCTCCACCGCCCTCCCTATCGAGCAAGGCAAGAAGGTACAGCGAGGGGGAGGCAGTGCCGCGGGCGGGGAGGGGAGGGGCACTCACCAAGAACGACGCGGTAGGTGCCCTCGCGGGCGGTGACCAGCCAGGTGCGCATCACCTTGGACTGGTGTTCGGTAAAGCTGCGGAACGCCTTCCCATCCACGTCCAGGGAGTACTGATAGGCGAACGCGCCGCACGGCTCGATCTTGACCGTGCAGCGCACGCGCGGCCTGCCCACCTCAAACGTCTCGCTGCCCACTAGACGGAACATCCAGTCGCGGCGAACAATCTCCTGTCGGTCGGCCCGGGGGGGGGGGGGGGAGGGGTCAGCTGTGGCGCCGGCCGACGGATCGACGCCACGCTGGAATGCCAGTGGCACGTAAAGTGCGGCTCATGCAGACACAACAGGATCGATCAAACCGGGCGCCAGTGGAGTTGCTGGTTTCCCTCACAGCAAACAGCCAGAGGTTTTACCATGACGATCGGATTAACCATTTGCCCAAACCTAAAAGGCTTATCTACATTGTGTACGTCAAATGTATGCAGTATCATAGTTTGACGAGTCACAATATGGTTGAATTTTACGAATTTGTGAGACGTGAGCGAGCAGTTTCGTTATTAAAGCAAGACATATTTTTCCACTCGGGTCCACAAACATCGGCTAAAAGTTTTACTTTTAACGTAAATGAGTAGCGGAGTTCCATGACGTATCGAGCTTTATCAATAGTGTGATAGGTAACTATTTTATTATTACACGCTATTTATTTAACTATGATTTATCCTTGACCGATATACGTACTAGCTGTTGAAGGATGTCTAGTTAGGTTAGGGGATAGGCTTTTGTGGGGTTGGGCCATTCGCTAACGAGGAGTTCACTCGTGCCACTGCCACCGTCAAAACTAAGAGCAGCTCAGACTTCAGCTTGTCCAGAGAAGCATGCAAGTCGCGTGAAAATACGACTAGGTATCCAATGGGTATGGGTATCCGAGGAATGGGTATCCAACTCTATTCAAGGCTATCACTCCACACAAGACCACTGAATAGGCCACACTCATTATTCAAGTTCTCGGTGTGGCCTGGTGGGTAGGACGTCTGCCTCGTAACTCGATGGCAACGAGAAACGGTGGCACAGTTCGCGGCCGAAGAGCTCCACATCCTTCGACCCACGTTCAGCGCGCTGACAACTGGCAAGAGACTAGGGCTACGCTAGAGCTAGGAGGGGCTACGCTAGTCAGGAGGGCCATGTCGCCATCTATCTGCGACACGCTAAACTTTCCATAAAAAATATCACCGGCGACTCGGGCGCTGGCAAGGTCGGTTGTTCGTGGCGTCATTGTAACAGCCAACAAGCACCGCCCATCGCTGCACCTGCCCCGCTCATCAATTTGGACTTCTTCAATCTGTTAACATCAATGCAATGTAAATAATTGATAGAAATGTAGCTCGAATGTTTGAATTGACGGATTGACGGAGCCGGAGCCCACGTTAAAGGGACCCTCCCACCTTCAAAAAAGTTAATGAATTGGCACAAAAGTGATGTCGCTCGGTTCAGAAAGAGCGAAAACGAATATCTACCAAATTTCATCGAAAAATATTCACCGGTTTTCAAGATATTAGACTTTTACTTTTGTTTACTTTTTGAGATCTCCGCTGTTCCTAGCGACTTATTTGAAAGTGCGGCATTTGTTGCGCGCAAAGCAGCATATACCACCGCGTGCTACCAAACGTTTTAGTAAAAGATTTAAAAATCGTTAGATCTCCGCTGACGTCACAAATTCTAAGGGGGCATACCAATGCACTAGCCCCTTAGAATCCGAAAACTGCAAGTTTGAAATTCCATATCTCCGTTAAAGCATTTGTCTATGTTGTGAGTGCCCAAACCGGTATTTGCAGGCCATGGCCACCAATTTGGCTATCTCAACTCAAAACTAATGTTAAGGTGGGAGTGTCCCTTTAAGCGGAGCTTGTTGTGTAGACTGCGACCCCTACCGTCCGATCGCGCAATTCCGGGTAACAACGGGAGCATTTCGATGCCAAAGTTTAACGTGCCCATCAAAGCCAGACACGGCCTGTCCCACTCTACTGACTTGCTGGCTGTGGCTGCTCCCACCAACTGCAGACCATCCCCGTCGGGAGCCTGAAATATCGAGCGCTGGAACAACTCGAGCCCAAGCTTTCAGAACCAGGAGTCTGGTGCTCTACCTGAGCTATGGGACAGGCTTCAAGATATTCAAGGGTCGTGTCCTTCAAGTAACAAAAGATTCTATCCTATTCAATAGGTACTAAAACAGTGAATTAGTTTTTCCTAAGTGCTTGCTTGTTACTGCACTGCCATTGCATTTTTTTTTTTTTAGATAACATAATATACATATTTGTACAAAAGCTGTCAGCAATGCTTCTAGTAGGTAGTTTGCAGCTATTATTCTTACTATTTCTGAAATCTTAAAAAATAGTATCCTCCTGTTCTACCCAATCTATTTCTTTTACATACCTACATTCATCACTGAGAGCTATTCTTTCTGCTTTCTGTTCTTCATTTTCAGTTGACATTTGTACAAATAGGTACCAATTTGTATTATTTCTATGCATGAGGCACCTATTATGAATTACCTGCCCATCAACTTTGATGATCCTTCTTCCCGAGATGGTGCCATGTTCTACCTCCACCTGGTGGATGCCATCACTGCATGGCACGTCCCATACAGCCACCAGGTCCACGGCCATTATCTGTGAATGACTGAGTCAGAGTCAGAGTGTGGACACCTTTAGAAAACAATTCAAACAGAAAATTTCCAAATTTCTTAACACGAATTTGGCCTATAATCAAGGACAAATGCATGCAATAATTTTTCTAAAATAACTAAAACCAGAACAAATGCTACATTATCTAATCCTGCCCTCAGATGCCTTCTGATAGCCACTCCAACTCACTGGTCCACGTTTTGCATCACCAACCTAAAAACATAGCACTTCAACATAACTTCCAAACAAAATGCTGACGCATATTACCGATCGGTTTCAAGACGTCTTGCAATAGCCTTCCTTGTTGTTTCCAGCAAGTTCAAGTTGTTTGCAACAAGTTCAACATTCAACTTCAACTTGCAGTCCCCAAGCAATCGTCATAGCGCAATAATTGTAGCTTGTGCGCCATATGAGTTTTTGCAAAATTCCTGTTCGACAGCAGGAACATGCAAGAAGAAACTTTTGCAAAAACTCACGTTGCCTGGCAACGAGTGTAAGTATAGAGTGGTTGCTTGGCAAATTGCTACCACAGCCTTGTACAAATTTTCAGCAGAACATGGAAGAACAGAGGGGTCCCTAATGCACGTCAATTGGGTGTTTTCTTATGCAATACACGTATGAAGGTACGCTACTGCGCATTTAAGGTGGTTCCTGGGCACTGAGGACTGAGGAGGGTAAGTCGAAAATGCATTTGAAGATGTGGGTCGTCATCCATAAAGGGGTGCTCAGGGACATAACTTTTATCATTTTTTCATGTTTTGCTCGTTGAAAAACATGTTCCAAACACCAAAAGCCAAGCCTGGACCTGGCCCCTGGCCTGGGCCCTGTTTCCCGGCGGAGCGCTGCAGTGCGCTGCGTGCGTTGGCGCGTTGGGTTTCCATGGCAATATCAACAAACTTCCCTCTGACGCTACGCTATGACGTCATCGCAAAACGCCAGCACCCAAGCGCCAGCACCATCAGCACGCTAGCAGCATTCGCACTCAAACCTTTGTTCTCTCTGTACAGGGCGTTGCAGGTAAATCCGACACTTGGAAAAAACGTGTTTATTCTAGTGCTACGCTCACGATGAAAAGTTTGGGCAGTATGTTACATCTCTATGATCAATTGCCTCCCCCAAAACACAAACACAGGATCGCCAACGGACGCCCCCACGTCTTCCAGCAAGACTCCGCCCCGGCGCACAAGGCCAGGACGACGCAGGCGTGGCTGCTCAACAACGTCCCTCACCACTGGTCGCCGGACTTGTGGCCGCCCTCCTCACCTGACTGCAACCCCCTTGATTATTTCTTCTGGGGCGTGATCGAGGCCAAAACCAACAAGCACGCACACAATACCGTCGACTCTCTCAAGGCCGCCATCGTGGCAGAGTTCGCCGCCGTAGACAAGGACGCGGTCGCCAAGGCGTGCGAATCATTTCGCCCTCGGCTTGAGATGGTCGTCGCCGCCGACGGCGGTTACATCGAGTAGAATTGCAGCATATGACTCGAACTGGTGCTAAATAAAATGCCAGGCCTGTGTGTGCAATATTCATGCTTTCATTGCCGATTTCGTATTTTGCCTCTCAAGAGTCGGATTTATCTGCAACACCCTGTACTTGGTTCTTTAGGACCTCTGTTCCAAACGCGATTCATCATAAGCTAACGGATCGCACGCAACGTCATTCGAGTGACGTCAGGGGTACGCCTCAGCTCCCAGCGCGCTGCAGCGCGCGCAGCGTCGGGCGGTGAAACAGGACTGGAGCAGGAATTTTAAGGCCACTTTCGGATGGGTCCTAGTCTCAATTGAACTGAGCTTGAGGTGCCTGCCTTCCATGCCTGACATGCATGGAAGAGGTCAGGGGCTACATGAGGGCCCTTTCTTTCTTTTTGTGGCCCTTTCTCATTCTGCAAAGACCCCCTTGAAGCCGTGATTGAGATATTTGTTTGTTAGGTACTTATTCATCTTTTAACCCTCACCCGCACATGCCATTTTCCCATCCTAGAACGCACATGGGGGGTGGTTGCCACCCCCCGTGCCATTTCGTTCCTATTGGAGATAGAGCTTCGCGGTAAAGACTTAGGTCGCCGGCACCAGTGGCTGTGAAACCCCATGTGCGGGCGAGGGTGAAAGCATAGGATGTAAATGTTTGGAATTTGAATGATAAAGTGTATTTTGAAGATTACACCTATTGTAATTTGTAGGTGTACCTACGTCATGATGATCTGTGAACTCTGGATAATTTAGGTATTTTTTTAAGAAAAGTCAATGCTGATGGAGGTGTGATTGTCAATGTGTTTCATGTAGATCACGTTTTTACAGATAGAGTACCACTTACTTCTACATACCAGATATCAAAATGGAAGAGGATCCCATCTTGGCCACCTTGAAGATTCTCATTATTGGTGAAAGTGGTGCTGGAAAATCCAGGTAGGCCCATACTCTGCACCTTTTTTTGTCTCCTTCTCCTGTGGAGGAATTGTTTTGCAATGACAATTGACAGGTGATGTAGTGACTTGCCATGTGGACCAACGTGTTGTTTCTATGAGTGGCAGGGCAGAAATGACAGATATCTAATACCAGGCCCAGGTGAGCTGTATGTTTACATTTAATGAGGTCACAGTCCACAAATTTTGACCCATTAGGGGTGTTTTATTATTGTTTTGTGCAATGTGCCACATCACATTGTGGCTGTTTGTGACTTCACTAGTGTTTCATTTTATTGTCTGCCAGCATCAACTGATGCAGTTTTGTGTGGCTCACCCAGTGACCACTCACCCAGTGACACCCAGTGCCAGTGACCCCAGTGACCACTCAACCATCATGCTAGAGCAATTTCATCAATTTAAATCGTTCATGCCCTTAAATCCCCATTCCATTTTCTTCCCTGACTTTTCTTCCCTGGGCTTTGCATATGGGCCAAAGTATTTTCTTGGATGTTGTGATCCTAACAATTCCCAAATTTTCCCTCTTTGGTCAAAGCTTAGTCCTTTCACATCATTTCAAAGGACAAATGTTTGTTTTTGGTCGCGATCAACTATCAAAGCAAATTTACACTAGCACTGTTTACCCACAGGACTCGTTTTATAGGTATTGGTTTGAACTTTGAAGGTTCAATTTTTATTGTTGGAAATGATGAGCATTGGTCATATGAGGTCAGATAACTATGTATCTTCATTCATTTGTGCATGTAAGACCATTGACCCTGTGAATGCTTATGTTTCTATGTTCATGTCCACATGTGTCCAGTGTCACTTCTTACATAAGCTAGACATCGGCGATCCTTTGTTAATGCGTTGATAAGTAATGAGCCATTCATTCATGCGCTGCAGCAGAAAGTAGCTATCGGAGCGACTAGCATTCGATAGTTGTCTGCTGTTGGCTCCATTTCTCCTGCTGAGCCGAGGTGCCTGTTTTTCAGTCTGCTTCTGCGGTTCGTTGACAACACGTTTGATCCCGATCAGAGCGCCACCATTGGAGTCGACTTCAAGGTCAAAACCATCAACGTGGACGGCAACAAAGTCAAACTGGCGATATGGGTGAGGACTGAGTGCTAGCCTGGTGGTGTACATTTAATGTTGAGGGAGTAATTTGATAGTAACTCTAGCACCGATCTATGCATGAGCCGAACGGGGCTAGCACTATCGAGGATGCTCATGAGTCATGAGTCATGATAGCACTCTTTCGGTTCGTCGGGTACCCAATGAGCGCTGAGGAAAGGAGAAACAAGTGCTGAGTCTACTTTTCGGTAACCCACTGACACTGATCACTGGTTTGATGATAAGGCTGTAAAACGGCAGTCGTTCCCTTTGTCGATTCTGCGCTGACAGAACCGACTGACGATACCATTATCCGCCCGAAGAAGTGACATCGATCGCTTTTCCCTTTCAGGACACAGCCGGCCAGGAGCGGTTTCGGACGCTGACGCCCAGCTACTACCGCGGCGCCCAGGGCGTCATCCTCGTCTACGACGTCTGCAGCCGCGCCAGCTTCACCAAGCTGGACATGTGGCTCAACGAGCTGCAGACCTACGCCAACCGCACCAACATCGTCAAAATGCTGGTCGGCAACAAAATTGACATGGTGGGTGACGCTGCCATTCCGGTGTGTTGGGGAAGCGCTCATCTGCTCAATGACTAACAACGTGCTATGTTTCTGAGTCCCGAGAATGGATAAGGACCTATAGCGTAAATATTTTTATCTATTATTTCGAAGCTCTATTAAAGGAAATAGTTCACTTTTTAACATGGGTTTTGAACTGGAATAGCAGTTCCGTAGCTTGGGCTGAGACGAGCATAAATCAGGAGCTTTTACAGCCCAACGATCACCCTAGGCAAAGATATTCTATTTCTCGTCCCGAAAAAGGTGTCTTGCGTTGAGGATGTGTGCCTTGCATATATTTCCATCCAGTATGAAAAGAGCATGGGTCCCGAAAATTATTCAGAAACTAGAGAAATTATCTACGAGAACTCTAGAGAAATTCTCGTACTGATCAATTAGGACATTCAGGGGAACATTATCAGATCGAGCAGATCGCCCAAATGCCGGTGGCTGCGATAATTTCTCTGTTTCTGAAGAATTTTCGGGACCCATGCTCTTTTCATACTGAATCGCGTGTGCCTTACAGAAACTGAAAAGTTCTTCCTATATCAAAATATAGAAAAAAAAAATTGTTATAAAAAGATTTTATTTTCTTTGCTGATTATTTTGAACATAAAAAATCATAAATCGTTGCAAAAAAAAAAAAATAATTTCGTGAAAGTGAACTATTTCCTTTAACATCGAAGATAACCGGGAGGATTGGATGATTTTCTTAGAACATGTCACTCGCTGTCATTTCCACAACTAATCTGCATGTTAATTGCACCTGCCCCGCCTATTTTCTGGTGTACCTTCCTCTGACTCTTCCCCGTGTCGCGCCCGCAGGAGAACCGCGCCGTATCCCGACAGGAGGGCCTGGCGTTCGCACGCCGCCACCAGATGCTCCACATCGAGTCCAGCGCCAAGACCAAGGAGGGAGTCCAGCTGGCCTTCGAGGAGCTCGTCCAAAAGGTAACGATACGCCCGGGGACTTCGGCGAAATTCAGAGGACTAGAGGAGTCTTGTTAAGCTTGGTCGATTGTTTGCTTTGGCTCATAACGTTCAACGCGGTTGCATCTTTTATTTGATTATGCTCCATTTCAGAATAAGAGCGCGAAGCCGGAGAGTGTGCCAGTGATCTGGTTGTTTTTACTATGCAATATTATAGGGTTTTTTTCTCGTTATTTAGCAAGGCACCACATCATTTATTTGGCGACAGAGCGTGTTCGTATACCTATTTTCATGTTGTGCCTTATTTCGATGAATAAGGCATAGAATAAGGCAAGGAATAGCAACCGACATTCCGGCCTTTCCGTTCTGTGTTGTCAGTCTCTGAAACTCGACAGTCCGCGTTTATCTGCCCACACCCCTCGCCATGTTTCCCTATATGTCCCCATGCTGCAGACACATCGCTGCACCTCCCGACATTTTCCCTTTCCCCCACAGATAATCCAGACGCCCGGTCTGTGGGAGTCGGACGAGGCACGCCGCGACGGCCAGCTGCGGGTCGGTGACGGCGCCGACGCACACCAGGGAGCCTGCGGCGGCTACTGTGCGCTGACGTGATGTGGCGACACTGTGACTACCTGCCGATCGTGACCCGAGGTGACCTGTGGGCCAGCTGCCGAGCGTGACCCGAGGTGACCTGTGGGCCAGCTGCCGAGCGTGACCCGAGGTGACAAAGGAGCCAAACGAGTGACCTGCGACGGCCCTGGACATGAGAGAATGACCTACGCTGGCCTGGGACATTGGCGAGTGTTCTTCGTTTGCCTTGGACCTGGGAGAGACCTGCCTGAGAGAGACCTTGATGATCACGGGTCTGGGACGGCTATTACTAGCCTGGAAACCGCGCTAGTGGTTCATCTGTAACCGATAACTGGCTACACACTGCTGACTTGTGTCAGTTGTGACCACAACACTATCACACGGGTATCCGTGACACGACTTATGATTTGAGAGGTAGCACTGAGACGATTCTGCGTGGTGGGTGTGTTTCGGGCGGCTTCTGGGGTGATCTGGACTTGTGTCTCAGTCTGCCGTTCATAAGTAAGAGACCCAACCGACCCCTTCGGTTAGCTGGGCCTCTCTAGGGACTCGTGACTGGGGATAAGTGATAATTCTGTACGAACGAGTGTCGGTCTGGTAAATGCCTGCAGCTGTGGGATGATTCAGTGTGTATTTGCACGCTGTTCTGAGGAAGATATGGTTGAGTGTGGTGCCCGTCAGTGTAAACAGTGACTGGCTGGTGCTGGAGGAACCCGTGTGACCAGCACAATGTGCTCCGTGAAACGACAGTAGATATGTGCTCGCGATGGCCAGAGGACCACGACAGGTGTTCGCCGTGCTACGCCTGTTGTTATATTAACGGCTTTGCGGGGCTGATATATTTTAGTCACCTAAATATAAGTGGTCATGGGCCTATCAATTATTTTAATGATTGGGGATATCTTGTACGGGGAGGTATTTACATATGTAGTGATCTGTCGGCCCGTTTGCCTTAGAAATGCCCTCTTGGTCGTTGAGTTTGTGCTAGTCAGGCTAAGTTATGTGAAATAAAGGTAAATTTTAAACCAGCGTTCATGCCTCTTGACGTAAGGAAGGAGTCTCGACCTCGGTCAACGCCCGTACGGCGGTCGTCTGTGTCAGGTAAGACTACGGTCTACGACTCAATTGACGGGAAGCAAACAACGGTGGGGGAAAGATGCTTGTGGTAGTGACACACCTTATCCTGTATATGTGTCGCACTTGCGAAAAATTTAGACCCACTTCAGGGATGCAGGCAACTCTCCGATTTATAGACGCGTATGAAACGTAAAAGACGTTATTTACACATAACGTCACTTGTATGAGTGACGTGACCCAATGTTGGGTCAACTTTGCCGCTGATCCATATCCATTAGAATGAAACTGCACCTCTTTCGGAGTTATATCATACCTACCCAAGGCCATGCCAAGCTACCCTAGTCCTACCTACATAAAAAAGTTGAACAAGTCAAAGTAATGAATATGAAAATGGCACATATGACCTCACCTCATCCGTGATATCATCTTGGTCATAAAAAGGTACCAATCAGCGCAGTGGCGGCGGAACACCTTCAATCAAAGGGGGGGGGGGGCACTGCCGACTTTTGGTCGCGTTCTTTCCACTGCAACGCGAATAGGGCTGATAGTAAAATGCCAAAATCAAATGGCCGGGGGCACGGTGCCCGGTGCCCCCCCCCCCCCTCCCCGTTCCGGCGTTCCGCCGCCTATGAACCAGCGAATTCCGACGATAACTCATTGCATGTTTGAGCGCTGAAAACACCTCGGTGTGTTCAGGTCATATTGCTCAGCTCAGGTGATAATATTACCACCAAGCTAATTTATAGACGATCCCCACCGATTTTCCTATTCTCTGGTTTTAGTTCCGTTTAACGGCATTCGCGCTGCTTCCTTTCCTAAACTGACAGTGAATTCGATTCCACGATACCATCGAATTTCCGATCCGAAAGTCCTCGGGAGACCCGGAGACATCGAGACGTCGGTTGACACTTGACAGTTGACGTACCAGTTGACACCAACGTCTCGGGTGTCGCATGCCGCCTCGGGGTATAGATCACGTGACACGACGAGCGCGCGGCTCAGCCAATCGGAGGCAGGGAAGGATGCGTAGACAGCGCGGCGGCGCTTCCGCCGTGCGAGAGTGCGAGTGGCGGGGTGCGCTGTGCGGAGGAGCAGTCAAGGCGGAGCAGTTTGAGTTTCCGATTGAGTAATGGGATTGCGCTTCCGGTGGCGGGTTGTGCAATGTGCGTTGAACTCATCAAGAAGTGTTAGCGATTATTTATGTGCCGTGCGCGGCCGCGTTCGTCGGTGTGCTCTTCCTTGAAAGTGATACAACTCAAACTGAAACTCAGAGCCGTGAAGTTTGAACTTTCAGTCTGCGCTACCGATAGGTACATTTTTATTATTGTGCGGTGTGGTGCAAACTGCAAGGTTGAGGAATGAGGTGTTGATGTGACCTGTGGACTGGAAACTGAAATTCGGAACGTTAAGTCGCCTCATTCGCCACGGTCAGATCCGTCCGATAAGAGGAGTCAGAGTGCGATTAGCGAGTGGAGATGAGTGATGCCAATGAGTCGTTCTGACTTCTGGGCATAAGAATCAGCACTTCAATAAGGAACGGCGACTGACGGCCTCAGGTAAGTCCTTACTCTGAACTATAAGTAACTTTACGGGACGAGGCAGTTGTATCAGTAGGTATCATCATCAGTGCCTGAAAGGTGAACCAGAACCCAGGATCTGAAGCATGTCATGACGTGTCGGTGTCCGCACAAGCACGCAGCAGTCGCTGCAGTCCCGAGTCCCCCTTGGTGTCATTTTAGATTGATTTGGAAGGGATCTGTTGGTATATGTTGCGGATTACAGACGTGCCGTTTAAATGACTGCGCGTGCGGTCAAACAATTGATGAATTTTGTGCAATGGATTGGGGAGAGTGATAAATCGAGGTCAGAAGAAATAGAAACCTTGGAATGGAACTTTGTTTACCTTATTAAAAATAGTGAAACGATTTAGAAAACACAAACACGGATCTCAGCAACCAAATAATGATTAACGTAAAGGACTTGTAACATAGTGGTGACCGTGACAGGACGAGATGGAAAAGTACCTCGAATTAGCGTCTAGATATGGGCTGCAGGGGGAAGAAGCTCTCCGATTTGCAGCTGATAGATTCGACAAGGACACTGAAAGAGAAGACAGAAGGCTGGAACGGGAGAGGAAAGCCGAAAAAGAAAAAGAAGACCGTGAAAGGGAAATAAAAGAACACGAAAGAGAAATCCAAGAACGAGAAAAGGAAAAAAACACGAACTAGAAAAACTAAAATGCCAATCAGAAATGCAAGGCTCAACAACAGATGCTGTCAGTGCAGTGAAGACACCGAAGCTGCCCCCGTTTGTGGAGGGACGGGATGATATTGACAGCTATCTCTTGAGGTTCGAAAGATTTGCGAGAGCGGCCGGGTGGCCTGAGGAGCACTGGTCAGTGTCCTTGAGTGCACTGCTGACAGGCAAGGCCTTGGACATCTACTTCCGACTCGACGCTGATCAGTCTTCAGACTACCAACAGATTAAAGAAGCTTTACTGCGAGGCTACGGCCTGACCGCAGAAGGCTATAGGAAAAAGCTTCGAGAGTCACGACCGGAACCCGGTGAGACACCAGCTCAATTTGTGGCTAGACTCCAATCTTACTTGAACAGGTGGATAGAGCTCGGAGAGGTAGATGATACACGGAAAGGACTGAAGGATCTCATCATTCATGAACAATTCATGAATACCTGCGCTACAGAGCTTCGCCTGTTCCTGAAGGAGAGAGATCTGCAAAATTTGGAAGAAGTTTCTGAAACCGCCACACAATATTTGGAGGCAAGAAATCAAACATTACATGACATCTGCAGGAAGCTCCAAACTAACGACGCGAAAATGCGTCTGACACGGGACACTGGACGGTCCAGTGTTATCAGGTCCGCCTCAGCGTTACACGTTCGTTCTAACAACCGACAACAAAGGTGCGCATTTTGCGATGAGCAACATGAGAGCAGTGCGTGCCATGAAGCGGTCAAGCTGTCTACCGAAGAGCGACGTAGGCGTCTATTGGCTTCGGGTAGCTGTTTCCTATGCTTAGGACCGCAGCACATCGCAAGTACCTGTGAGAGCCAGAAGTGCTGTGCCATTTGTAAGCGCAAACACCACCTGCTGTTGTGTCTTGAAAACAGATCAAATGGATCAGAGAAAACCACTCCAATCCTGGCAGCACGATCTCAGGTACAAAATGGCTCCGCCGTGGTGTTACAAACAGCGCGTGCTGTGGCCATGGGCCCAAAGGGTGAGGAGCGTGTCAAAATGCTAATTGACACCGGCTCGAACCAGTCTTTCGTCACCAAGCGACTGGCCGCCCGGCTTGGATGTGAGGAGACGGGTGAACAGGACACCAATATCATGACTTTTGGTGGTGATGAAAAACGTCACAAGGCTCTGAAGAGAGTCTCAATCACGCTGAAGCGCGTCGGAGACGAAATATCAAGCGGACTGAGGATGGACATGGCGGAGATCGACACAATTTGTGGCGCTGTGAACACAGGCCTGACCGTGTCCGAGGAAGATCTGGATCAGTTGAAAGATCTGGTCTTGGCAGATCCGCCGGCAATGTGGAAGGACAACGAATCAATTGACATTTTACTCGGAATGGACTTGTACCAGGATGTGATGACAGGGCGCAGTCGATTCAGTCATTCCGGTCCCATCGCTATGGAATCAGTGTTTGGCTGGATTTTAGGTGGACGTCTCCACACGGCTGGAGAAACCGAGAAACACGCACTACTCATTCGGACAAGGGAAACGAAAGACGACTTGCAGCAGCTGTGGGACCTGGAGAGTATCGGCATAGAAGATCCCACGTATGCAAGTGACCGTGAAGAAAAACAGACAATGGAGGACGCTGCGATGATGCATTTCGAAGAGACATGCCAGAGGCTCCCAGATGGCAGGTACGAAGTGCGATGGCCCAAGAAGGAAAACTTTAATTCCTTACCTGAAAACGAGCAGATCGCCAGGCTCCGTCTGGAACGTTGTGAAAAGGGCCTGAAGCGAGAGCATCAGAAAGCGGAGTATGAGAGGGCTCTGCTTCAGTACTTAGAAGATGGCTATGCGGAGCGGGCTCCAGTGATTCCAGATGGACCAATCCATGTTCTTTCTCACCATGCAGTGCATAAGAGCGATAAGATGCGTGTAGTGTTCGACGCTTCTGCTGGACACCCAAAGTCGCTGAATGACTTTGTGCTACCCGGACCAAACCTCATCGCCGACCTTGCGGGAATTCTGATCAGATTCCGCCTGAATCGTGTTGCCGTCACAGCAGACATCGAAAAGGCTTTTCTACAACTAAGCCTCCATCCAGAAGATCGTGACGTCACAAGATTCCTTTGGCGAGAAAGCCCAGAAGTGGAGCCAACCGTGTTCAGGATGAAGAGGGTTGCCTTTGGAGTCAGCGCCACGCCGTTCCTTCTACAGGCCACGATCCGAAGGCACCTCAGGCAATACACGGACAGCCACGCTCTGTCAGTTCGAAGACTCACTACTGACCTGTACTGTGATGATCTTCTGACGAGTCTCAAGACAGAAGAAGAAGCAAACACCTTCATTCAAGAAACGAAACAGATCTTCGCAGAAGCAAGGATGAATATGAGAAAGTGGGCGAGCAACCAGCGACTAACAGCAGTTGAGGAAAACACCTCCAGCGTGGTTCGGATCGATGATAGCGAGAGATCAGAAAAGAAGGTGCTCGGGGTTTTGTGGTCTCCAGCAGAAGACAGCTTCAAATTTGACCCCTCGACTGTGCTGGCCCTCGCAACCGATCTCCCAGCCACGAAACGGAACGTTCTGCGTGTTTCAGCTCGCATCTTTGATCCCCTGGGTCTAATAGCCCCATTTACTGTCAGGGCTAAGATGCTCCTAAAACGACTCTGGACGGAGGGGAGCGACTGGGACGACCTGATGAGTGAAGAATCCCGTCACCTTTGGCTGGCATGGATCCAAGATCT